ACGCCGCTGGTGGGCGGCTGAGACCAGCTGGACACCCCCGCTGAAACGGGGACCATCCATGGACGAGTACCTGTACGTCCCGTTTTGAACGGGGGGGCCCCCTTTGAAGGGAAGATTGAGCGATGGCGCGCTTGTGACAGGACAGCCAGGAATTGGCTTCACAGCCACTCCGTCCCGTTGCTGATGCTAATCACGACTGTTATCTCCCAATGTGGCAGACAACCAGAAGCCACTCGGCCTACACCGAGCAAAAACGGAGCAGCAATTTCGGAGCCCGGGGCATTGAAGAAGCGGCCCCCCCAGGGCTGATGTCTGTCTGCTGTGAGTGTCTCTGGCTCACCACCTCACTCACATGCACAGACGGTCAGCAATAACAACAACAACAAATCCTCAATGCAAGCTCCCCAGCCCGCTCCGTAAACAACCCGCCCGACTAACTTTGTTTTTTTTTTTTTTTTGTTTACTGTACATGCATACGTACTTGCGGGTCTCGTCTTCTGGCCGGGTCGTCTTGGGCACCGGCACATCTCAGCAGAGAATGTCGCATCCCGGCTGTGGGGGCGGGTCTAATGTACAGTGCCTGGCTACATGCATGCCCGGGTACATGATTTGATACGGAGCGTCAACAAGTCTGGCCGGAGCTTTCTTGTGTCCATGGATGTAATTAATGATGAGTGCACTTGTATTCCTTTCCATCCATACTTGTATAAGCTCCAGGGCCGAGCAATGCACCGTCTGGCCTATCGTCCAGCACTAATCGCTGGCCACCTCAAACCCACCATGGCCGACTAACATCTCCGTGCCTACGCTGGGCCTCATGGCTCGGCCTTTGGGCTTCAACACATTACGAGCCAAGTGATGACTTCCAATTTCCCCAATGGGTGCGTAGAAAAACTCTATCTATATCTGGAAGTGCCACACCGCAGTTTCTGGTTGCCAGCACAGGCCCTTTTAGTTAGGCCTCCTGCTGCCGCCGGCTGCCGCAAACAAGTATTGATCCATCTGGATAGAATTTCGGTTTGCCACCGTTTCTCTTGTCAGACTCAGACGCTCAATACGGCCCATCGAATCATCTTTGGCTAGGCTAGGCCAAAACTCTGTTTTCCCTACCTTGACTTATTAGCCCGTGGCAGCTTCAGACATGGACGAGACAATGGCACGGGACCCCCAAAGTGGAGGCCGTGAGTGCTCGTCACGAGTCGTCTTTTTGCGTGTTTTTGACTTTGTCACAAATCTTCTTTTCAGGGACGATGCTGCCATACTGACCATTGACGAATTAACAAACACAAGTAACAAATACTCCGTACAAGTATGAGTACTGCCTGAATAGATACGAGTACGTGCACATCAACTTGATTCAATCTTGTAACATGGACGTGGCACCAATCATGACAGGTACAGTACATGTCTGTCTGTCTCACCATCTCTCTCTCCCCCCCTGAGCCCACCGCATCGCATTCATCTCACAATCTTGCATCATCCTCTGTGGATGGCATCACATCACCCAACTCGACAGATCTCAGTTTGTGAGACAGCATCTCGCTTCGTGCCTGGCCCTCGCCAACAAACGAGCGGTGGCCACATGCGCTCGAGGCATGTCCGTGTTGCTGCACGTTGCACGCAAATATTTTTAGCTTCGATCCGTCAGATTACCAAAGGCCCAATGCATGCCGCAACATCTTCGTCCTGTCTGTAACGAATTTCCCTCCCTCGTGCGCCGGGCTCGTCCCTGGCATGTGTTTCCCGGAGAACGTGGCCCTCACCAAGACAGGATTCCAGCGAGTCGAGGCGCAAAGTCCGCTCTCTGTTCTCTGCTCGATGGCGAAAAAAAAAAAGAAAAGAAAAAAACAGCAAACAGCTCCTCTCGCGCGCATCTACCACAGGCACAAGCACAAGCACAAGCGCAAGAGGCGCCCTGTGTGTTCAACCAAGGCGCAACCTCCCACCACTGGACGGGCCAGGCACATGCAGTTTTCCAACTCTTCTCTTCCCTAATTGTTTCCTTCTCCGCCCTCTCTTCCGATGCCATTGGAAGTGGCCGGGCCATCCATGCCTTGATGTCGGCGCCAACAAGCGCTACGCTGCATGAATGGATCGCGACTCTACGACTAATGTTTGCTAACCGCTGGGCCGGCATAAGGCCAGCCCGCCTTCTCAGCTGGCAAACCTAGCTCCGGCCAAGTTGTGAAGTCAGCTTGACGCAATCAGCTCATTTCTCGATAGTTTCCAAGTCTACTGCTACTACGGAGTATTCAGCATAAAATCATGCCACTTGATGCGGCTACCGTCGCGTTGATCGTGCCGATCGCAGGCTGTGCCGTTTCCAGAGCCCAGTGACACGCTCCTCGTCGCGATGCAGCCTGAATCTACGATTAAATCTGGTGCTCACCCACATCTACAGCTACCCCTCTATTGTGGAGGTGATGAGGGCAAACAGACCAGATGTAGCATCAGGATTCATACGAGTGAATACTCTCCAGCTCTCGTGAGCCAATAGACCTGTCATGGATATCGGGCAGCTTCTAGAACCAGCCAATGGGCGGTAACCGTCGCCTTACATGCATTGGTTTGCTAGCCCGCCCCTCAATGACGAACCTGAAACAGCATTGATTTTACCAGCCACAGCTTTACTTGCTTCACCATCCGGGCTTCGATCTGGTCTTGCTTCGGATCTCCTCCGATGAGGTTGGGTTGGGTCTGTTGCGTCGTTCTTAGTTGCGGCTCTGTTAGTTGAGATTGAGCCTCGGTCTGCTTGATCTCGTGGCGAGACACTCGACTCCCTGCAAGCCAAGGACAACTCTGCAAGACACTCATTTCTTGTAGCAAACATTCTACCATGCTTCCACGCACGTACAACAGAGAGCCCTTCTGAACCCTTGTATGCCGGCCAACTTGGCATCCAACGGAAAAGTCATTATTGTGTTCCGAGCGTTTATCCCCAAGGGAAGAGTTAGTTCGTTCCTCGGCAACTCGCGGGGATTTACGGAATATTCAAGTCTTCTTCCCGTCCTTCACGGTAGGATTACGAGTTGCTTTTTCTAAACATCATGCCTAACGGTACTCGTATTCAGCTAACACAGCTGAGCAGTAAAAATAGCGCCCACTTTGGCAGTAACATGCAGGGAAATTCCTCATGTCCGTCTCTCTAGCGTTTCAGGTCCCATCTAAGAATATCACTCGACAATGTTGCACAAAGCCCATCACAATTCCGATGGCTTTGCTTTTGATGAATTCTCACCGCAAATGTGTAATCTCGCTAGATGGGCTCACCAGGCTTCTCTGACTCGCCGTTCCCTGCGTATTAGAACTGCTGAGTTAAGATGTTGCTCCCTGCTGTTTTGCGGAGAACGGCATCGCGGCTCCAAATCTGCGGAAGCAATGGCAGTGTCAAGAGACCGGGCAACGATCCCTGCAAGATTCAAGCTTGCAGCTTTTCACCACGGGCAAGCTGCGGTCACGAACCACGAGTACGAGTACATGGTTCTGTTTCTTTATCTCCGTCTCGAAGCGGGCATGTCTGACACACGTGAGGCAAGGCATTGACTTCCCTGCTGCTTTTGTCTTTTCCGATATTGATCCACTCTCCAAGTGATGCACGATGGTGGCGTAAGCAACCAAGCAAGGAGGTAGCACGGCGCTGGGCAACAAGATTTGATGTGATTGCAAAGTAACACATGCGTCAGTTAGTGCGGTATCAAGAGACTTGCGGAGGACAATCAACTGCGTACAGTACACGCAGCAACAATACCATTGGCATACGAGGACTCGTACTGCGAAAGGGAGGGCTCATGTGCTGCGTCCTTCCTGCAAGGCGAAATTAGACGCATCAATGTGCGACAGCAGCAACCCGGAATCCAGCACACCGAGATTTGCTGATGAGATCCAAGTTGCACAGCCACTGCCAGCGCTTTACACGTATGTAGAGGTAATAAGAAAATTCTCCGGCCCTCCCCCTCCAGACCCACGGCGCTTCCCTTACGATGCCACACACACTACGTAACTATTTCGTAGTAGCGGCTCAGAAGGGCGCGAAAACCAACCCGGGAAACTCGACACTGGGCTGAGAAGATGCCTCCGAGAGCCCATGATTGGATCGGGCAGTTCATCCCGAAATCTTGCTTTTTCTCCAGCGTCAATAACGCGTTGCTTTTTCGCGCGAACACGCCCGTGGGATTTCGACAAGGATGTTCGGTTTAGGTTTGCGCACGCCTATTGGCTGGCTCTATGGTATTAGCCTAGGTTTCGGAGCTGGATTTGGCACTTCGAAACAAGAGCCAATGGTTCCTTGTCAGCTTAGAGTTCAGCGTAGCAGTTGGAGCCTTGCGGCATGGAAATTCGAGGGCCTGGGGCTTCGGCGTTCCTTTTGAGAGTTATGCCCTAATTGGGCCGTTTGAAACGTTGGCATTTGAAGCGCCCCGAGCCGTGAGCGCCATGGCGAGATAGTTTGAACGGTGGCTGTTGTCGCTGTTGATTTGGGCGTCAATGTTCAAGTTATTGCTGCTCTGGGAGCTCAGTTTGACGGATTCAGATGATGGAAGGATGCCTCAATCGTAAATGTCGTCTGGTTTGGGATTACACTTTCTCTGGAATATTCCTCAATGGCAAGAGTCTTCATGACACTCCTCTGCTGACATCATAAGCTCCATGTGGGTACCTAGGTAGCTGAAACTCCTTGGGATATTGGCTTATAGCGTAATATCGACTTATCGGGGTCAACCCCGGACCTTTCCCTCTGCCAGCTGCTCAAAGTCAACCCGCCGGACCGTTTCGGCCCGTCCGCCCAAACGTCACCAATCATGGCGGGGCGCGCCACGGCCCAGAGAATTTCAAGATTGAAGCTCGTAGATGCGAACATCTCCAGAGCGGGCAAGCTATTCAGACCGTAAGCCAGAGCTTCTCGGCTCTAGACCAGATTCCAAATCGAGGTCGCCGATAATTCGTCTCGAATCAGACGCCAACGAGATTCCATCCCCGCCAAAGCTACACATTCGCCCGCAAACATGGAGGCCGAGATCAGGGCCGTCCTCCCCAACATCGACCCGGTCTTGTCTGACTACTCGGTTGGATACCTGACGCACGCTTCCACCGCCTGGTCAGACGAAGAGAACGAGGCGCAAATCTCCCCCCTCAACGAAGCTGCGTCGACAATCACCGAATTGCTTCTCTCTGCCTCCGGAGGCACAACTGCCGCTCAAGAGGAAAAGATCAAGCAGCTCGTGGAGAAATGGGTCGACAAGTATGCCGAGGCGAACGGAGGTGAACGACGAGGGCCCTTCGCCATCAGGAGGCTAGACCAAACTATCCAGGTCAGCTCTCAGCGGAACATGTCGTCCACTCTGGCCGTCGCCGGTGGTGCCGTCGACCTGGAGTCTGCCAATGTGAGAAAGGTCGAGTCCAAGGTCGACCGCAAGAAGCTTGAAAAGGCCGAGCGAAAGATTGCCGCCAAGCAGCAGAAGAAGACGTTCAAGACGGTTGAATATGAGGCCTCGAGATTGCTTGATCAGTCTGAGGATGCGCAGTCGTACGAAGAGTTCTACATGGCCGTCAACCCGCTGCAACTGGGCTCATCGGGAGCCAACAAGACGAAGGATATCAAGCTGGATAACATTGATGTGTCTATTGGTGCCAACCGCATCCTTACCGACACAACTCTCACTCTGGCATACGGCCATCGCTATGGTCTTGTTGGTAACAACGGTGTGGGTAAATCCACATTGCTCAGAGCTCTGTCCAGGAGAGAAGTTGCCATTCCGACACATATTTCTATTCTACACGTCGAGCAGGAGGTGAGCTCTATTCTCTTGCCCCGCATGTGTCTTTATCCAACTACTAACTCTCCCATGCTAGATCACGGGAGACGATACTCCGGCTATACAAGCTGTTCTTGATGCCGATGTCTGGAGAAAGGTTCTTATGAGAGAACAAGAAGTAAGGCTACGTTGGCAACCGCAGTTCCCTCAAAAATCACCATCTGACTTGTTTTGTAGGACCTCATCAATAGATTAGCAGAATTGGAGGTTGAGCGAGCGCCGTTGGCGGATACTTCGGCAGATGCTGCCAAGCTTGATCTGGAGAAGGAGACCATGGACACCAAGCTTGGCGACGTTCAAGCTAAGCTGGCCGAGATGGAGTCTGACAAGGCAGAGTCTCGCGCCGCCAGTATCCTGGCCGGTCTTGGATTCTCGCCCGAGAGACAGCAGTTTGCGACCAAGACCTTCTCCGGTGGTTGGCGTATGCGTCTGGCACTGGCGCGTGCCCTGTTCTGTGAGCCCGACCTGTTGTTGCTCGACGAACCGTCCAACATGTTGGACGTTCCCTCGATTACTTTCCTTTCAAACTATCTCCAAGACTACCCCAGCACAGTTCTTGTCGTCTCTCACGACAGAGCATTCCTCAACGAAGTCGCAACAGATATTGTGCACCAACACTCTCAGCGACTCGACTACTACCGCGGGGCCAACTTTGAGTCCTTCTACGCTACGCGTGAGGAGCGCAAGAAGGTGGCCAAGAGAGAATACGAGAAGCAAATGGCAGAGCGAGCACATTTGCAAGCCTTTATCGACAAATTCCGATACAATGCGGCCAAGTCGTCGGAAGCTCAGTCCCGTATCAAGAAGCTCGAGAAGATGCCCGTGCTGGAGCCGCCGGAGAAGGAGTACGACGTCAAATTCCAGTTCCCCGAGGTGGAAAAGCTGTCGCCTCCCATCATCCAGATGTCAGGGGTCAGCTTTGGGTATACTCCCGACAAGCCGCTGCTGAGCAACGTAGATCTCGACGTTCAGCTGGATTCCCGCATCGGCATTGTTGGGCCCAACGGTGCTGGTAAGACGACGGTCTTGAAGCTTCTCATCAGCAACCTCGAAGCATCAAAGGGTCTCGTCACGTCGCACCCACGACTGCGCATCGGATTTTTCGCGCAGCACCACGTGGACTCGCTCGACCTCACTATGAGTGCCGTCAGCTTCATGGCCAAGGCCTATCCCGGGAAAACGGATGAAGAATATCGACGGCAGTTGGGAGCGTTTGGCATCACGGGCACAACCGGTTTACAGAAGATGGTGCAGCTTTCCGGAGGTCAAAAATCCAGAGTGGCATTCGCCTGCCTGGCGCTGACGCAGCCGCACATTCTCGTGCTGGACGAGCCGTCCAACCATCTGGATATCGAGGCCATGGATGCGCTGGCGGAGGCGCTGAACGAGTTCCAGGGAGGCGTGCTGATGGTTTCCCACGACGTGACGATGCTGCAGTCGGTGTGTACGTCGCTCTGGGTGTGCGACGGCGGTACGGTCGAGAAGTTTGACGGGACGGTGCAGCAGTACAAGAAGAAGATTGCGGCTCAGGCAGACGCTGCGGGCGTTGTCAAGGCGCATTAGATTCAATACCAATCAATTGGAATCAATGCCAGACTACGTATACCAATTAACTGTAAATATACCTGGACATGTCTGTTTGTCCGCCCGTCATCCTCACTGCGTCGTCAACAAAACCCAGCAAGATGTGTAGTAGGCGTCTGTATTCGTATCTGTAGCGCTCCGTACTCTGGTTAGATGCAGCGTTGCCGGATCCGCGCGTGAAAGCGGCCAAAATGTGGGGGCCCGCCAGCTCTCATCTCGGCTCATGAGCTGGCGCTGCATGAGATTGGAGACGCAGAAAAGTCTCTGTCTGGTGTTGCGGTAAAAAGGAGACTTTGACTGGACTGCCTTTTTCTTTTTTCGAATTGGATCGGCTCCAACGAGCCCAAGGGACCAGGCATCAAAAAACTGCTTAGCGTGGCTGCGGGTTCTGGCTACATGTACATGTACATGGCTGGTTGGCGCGTGGATGGGGTTTTGGGAAAGTAGAGGTTACATATGTACAGGCCTATGGCTGTCTCAGGTACAATATGATTTTCGATTCTCTGTGTTACTTTGGATGGATCTGTTTTATAGTTGATATTATCGAGTGCATGGTTACTAAGGTTAGCAGTCTCTCTGTATGTTGTCGATGGCCTCTTTTGCACCGTCAGTAACAGGTAGTAAAAGAGCAAGAGTACCAATGCCCATCAATCGTTCAATGGATGGATGTTTCCCCCCCCTATTCGGGCCCTAACTAGCACCACCCGTACCTAGCCCTTCAGTGAGCTTTTTCAGGCCCCAACAGGCTCAATGGCTCTCCTTCCCTTCCCCATGCTAACCCAACTAACTGGAGGCCCCGCATGGCGATGGGGCCCATGGCGGTGAACCATTTCATCTCCACCCGCTTCCCAACTCAAACAAAAACCACCAGCTCCTCCAAGCCCAAGGCTCTTCCACTGTCCTGCCAAACCCGCCACAGCTCAGCAATAGCTCGCATCTCCTCTGCGTCTCGTTTCCTTCTGCCTCGAATTCGAATCCTAATTCCCTTCCAGCATCATCACCAGCCATCATGCGTGAGATTGTGAGTCTTCCCCTCTGTTCGATTGTTTACTTGAGCTGCCCGCCAAACGCGTTTTGGCACTTGGAGCCCCTGAAATTATACCCCGCCAACCACAAAACGAATGGAACACTTTGGCGTTTTTCTGCGCGGCAGTCCAGCGCGATTGAGGCGTGTCGTGATGCTCTGAGGATGTCCGTTTGCTAATTGTTGATTCTTTTTCGATGTTCAGGTTCACATCCAGACCGGCCAGTGCGTAAGTTGACGTCCCTCCATAGCCCCCTTAACGACGCCGCGGCCCAGGAGCTCACGTTTCTTTGACAGGGTAACCAAATCGGTGCCGCCTTTTGGCAGACCATCTCTGGCGAGCACGGTCTCGACAGCAATGGTATCTATGGAGGCTCTTCCGAGCTCCAGCTCGAGCGCATGAACGTCTACTTCAACGAGGTACGTGTTTCCTTTTCCCTGCTAGACGCGCCGCTTGAGATGCCCCTATTCTGACCTCGGATGATGCAGGCCAACAACAACAAGTATGTTCCTCGCGCTGTCCTCGTCGACCTTGAGCCCGGCACCATGGACGCCGTCCGTGCCGGTCCTTTCGGTCAGCTCTTCCGACCCGACAACTTCATCTTCGGCCAGTCCTCTGCCGGCAACAACTGGGCCAAGGGTCACTACACCGAGGGCGCCGAGCTCGTCGACAACGTCCTTGACGTGATCCGCCGTGAGGCCGAAGGCTGCGACTGCCTCCAGGGCTTCCAGATCACCCACTCCCTCGGCGGTGGTACCGGATCTGGTATGGGTACTCTCTTGATCTCCAAGATCCGCGAGGAGTTCCCCGACCGAATGATGGCCACCTTCTCCGTCATGCCGTCCCCCAAGGTGTCCGACACCGTCGTTGAGCCCTACAACGCCACTCTCTCTGTCCACCAGCTGGTCGAGAACTCTGACGAGACCTTTTGCATTGACAACGAGGCTCTCTACGACATCTGCATGCGCACCCTGAAGCTGTCGAACCCTGCCTACGGTGACCTGAACTACCTCGTCTCCGCTGTCATGTCCGGCATCACCACCTGTCTGCGATTCCCCGGTCAGCTCAACTCTGATCTGCGTAAGCTGGCTGTGAACATGGTTCCTTTCCCCCGTCTCCACTTCTTCATGGTCGGTTTCGCTCCCCTGACGAGCCCCGGCGCTCACTCCTTCCGTGCCGTCACCGTGCCGGAACTCACCCAGCAGATGTTCGACCCCAAGAACATGATGGCTGCTTCCGACTTCCGCAACGGTCGCTACCTGACCTGCTGCTCCATCTTGTAAGTAACAAAAGGTGTCCGATATGTACCGACATGTGGTGCTAACAAAGAATGTCCAGCCGTGGCAAGGTCGCCATGAAGGAGGTTGAGGACCAGATGCGAAACGTGCAGAACAAGAACTCCACCTACTTCGTTGAGTGGATCCCCAACAACATCCAGACTGCCCTTTGCGCCATCCCTCCCCGTGGCCTGAAGATGTCGTCTACCTTTATTGGTAACTCCACCTCCATCCAGGAGCTGTTCAAGCGTGTCGGCGAGCAGTTCAGCGCCATGTTCCGTCGCAAGGCTTTCTTGCACTGGTACACTGGTGAGGGTATGGACGAGATGGAGTTCACCGAGGCCGAGTCCAACATGAACGACTTGGTGTCTGAGTACCAGCAATACCAGGAGGCCGGTATTGACGAGGAGGAGTACGAGGATGAGGCTCCTGCCGAGCACGATGAGGAGTAAAGGCTTCCCTGGCACGAGCGGGCGAATTATCTTTCTTTTTCACTTTAAATTCTTGGGGTTGCACTGTTCCCCGTGTTACCCTTGATTAACGCTGTAGGACTTGCCTTGCGGGGGTCTGTTTAGATGATTGGACGACCATTTTGATATCCACGCGCGATATGACATTCGGTCAGATGGCAAGTGTTTGCAAACCTAATGAAAATAAGAAGAGTACGATTACGGTACTGTAACACATGTCCAGTGGCTGGTCCCAATGTGTGCGTGTGTGCATGTGTATTGTAACTACTTGTGATGCTTGATGATACCAGAGGTGTAATGAATTGCTTGAGTGTCTACACTTACTCTCCAAATTCGATTTTACTACTAAGATACTACAACTAATTACATTGAATGAATGGTGACGATGACGGAAACGCCAGTTGACAATCCCGACGGCACGACAATATATAGGGTGCCTGAGGAACTCTCCAGTAGTCTAGACGCTCCTCTTGACGAAACAGGAAAGCTGTCTTGTCGACATCATGCTCTGGAATGCGTATCTGGCTTGGTTGTTGTCGATGAGCAGCATGTTTGGCTAGCTGAACCTTGCGTCAAAGAGTATCCGACTTCCAGCAGAATCAGACACGGTCCCGCATCGGCTTTTTCGTTTACAGAGACGGAAGCTGGATATCAATCAATCACGGATCGAGTATCTACTCGGCTTAGGTGCAGATCCCAACGTCCAAGGGGGAGATCACGGAACGGCCCTGCAGGCAGCGGCGTGGTCTGGCCAAGCTGAATCTGTCAAGCTTTTGATCGAGAAAAGGGCTCTTGTTAATGGACGAGGTGGTAAGTATGGGAGTGCATTAAACGCTGCTATCATCATGGACTACTGGAATATTGTCAAGATGTTGCTTGAGAATGGTGCAACGCCGGACTTTCACTGGCGGGATGAGATGGACGAGGATTGGCTGGCCGAGATTCAGAAAGAACATGGGCGAGGGGCTGTAGAAAAGTATGGGAAGTTCTGGGAAGTGGAAAGGAGGAAGTCATCTAGAATAAACCCAGATAACAACATAGGGATGAAAAAGGCTTGAAGTTGAATATTATAACTTTTAGTCAAGGAACTTTTAAATATTCTATATATTACTCGTTTGGTTGGTTGCGCAAACTCTGAAGGAACTCCAACTCTTGCCTAGCCTCTGGATCCTCATCCACCTTCTTCACATCCGACTCGGTGAGTTCGACGATCAAGTTGGCACCTAGTGTTCTCCTTTAGTTGACTTCGACAACGTAGTATCCATCCTTGAATAGCAGTAAGCCTCACTACTATTTCCACAAGAAAAAGTCTAGGGATTAATCACATGAATGGCAACGATAGTACCGTAGGAAGGTTCGTCGTCGTCCAACTCAACTTCCACTATAGTTCCCCTATACTCTCGTGAGAACAGACACGAGAGAAGAGACAGTTTTGACATACTCTGGATATCGCATGGTGGGCTAATTTCTGCTCTGTTTAGATGCTTGAATCTGACAAGATGCAATGAGGAAGTGAGGATACGGTAAGCTTTATGTTTGCAGCGCCGTGTTATAAATGCCTAGGTTGTTTTTCTTGGATGTATGTTCAGCTGTGATATCGCAGCAGCTAGGACGGATGCAGCTTCGATCCGTTGATGTGCATGCATACTAAGTAACGCTGCCTACATGCGGGGCGACACGAGAACAGCTGAAAAGCAAGACGTTATCATGTAGGAGTGAGGACATACATGATACCTAAGCGCATTGAAATGGAATTGCGCTTCATTGTATGTGTGCTATACTATCAGAGGCAAATATTCTCGCCATATGCCTTGAACCAGAATGATGTTAGTTGGCAGACAACAACAGCTCAACTCTTCCCCTAGGTCAAAAATTTAGCCAGTATACCACTTCCAACTATTGGTTGATTTAACTTGGCCCATGAGAGACAGTTAAACCTCTTTTGACTACATGTACTCATAACCTACTAATTTGTTGATATGCAGTGGAACGACTGGCTCGACTAACACTAGAGACAGCACAAACCTACATGTATTTTGCTGGACCTGACTCACCATGGGATGAACGACTGTAGTCAGAGGCTTTGGGATTTAATTAAACATCTATAACGGCAATTATGTCATTGAATCTGTCTCTCAAGACATATTTTCCCTTGAAAGTGCCCCTGAATAGAATTTCTCAAGAAGAATTGAATTGCACCTTGCAAACAGCATCAACAATAACACAGTGCGCATAATGCAACATGCGCACTCCACGTGCTGACTCAGCAAAAAGTTCAACCCATCCCAGCGCCATCACCAAACCAACCCACCTCGAAAAAAGAACAAACGACAAACCACAGCCGTTGATTGCGCCAACCCTCGCGGCCCAGCTTCCCCCAAAGCCCAAATGGCCGCCATTCTCGCTCCCCGCCGGGGCAAGGCTCTCAGCCAGGCCTTGTCCGCGGCGGCAGCCTCACCATGCCCGATTCCGTCCCTCCTCCCGGCATCATCGACCGCCGCCTGCAGCTCATGGCATTCCGCACGACGACCGTTTTCGACGACACATGCCCGGGGGTCGAAGCTGGGGAGGACGCCGCTGTCGATTCCCCCGGGTGTCGAGGTTTTGATGGGCGAGCCCAGGACGTTGAGGTCGGCGACGTCGTATAAGCCTGTGGTGAGGAAGACGATTACTGTCAAGGGACCTCTGGGTGTGTAGCTTTTTTTTCTTCTTGTCGGCAGTATAATTGCTGTTACAGCTATTGGAAGACTTCTTCCATTCACATTGAAGAATTTTGATTTCGTGGTTTACAGGGAGTGCGTTGGACTGACGAGTGCGTGCGGCGTAGGAACATTGAACCTGGATGTGCCCGAGTTTGTGGACATTGTACAGAGCGAAGAAGACAAGACTGCGACACTGAGCGTGAGGGATCCAAACGCCAAGGAGCAGAAAGAGATGTGGGGTACGTTGTCATTCCACACCCCTTATTCCTTTACAGACGAAAGCTCTCGTCGAACAATGCTAACCTCGAGTCCATGCAGGCACATCATGGTCCTACCTCAGCAACCACATCACAGGCGTCTCCGAAGGCCACACAGCCATCATCCGCCTCGTCGGCGTCGGCTACCGCGCCAGCGTCGAGCAGCGCGGCGCCAAGGAAGAATACCCGGGCCAAAAGTTCCTCTGCCTCAAGCTCGGCTTCACGCACCCCGTCGAGGTCGGCATCCCCCGGGGCGTCACCGTCACGACGCCGTCGCTGACGCGCATCCTGCTCGAGGGTCCCGACCGCGAGGTGCTCATGAGCTTCGCCGGCGTGGTGCGCAAGTGGAGGCCGCCGGAGCCGTACAAGGGCAAGGGCGTGTTTATCAATGACCAGACGATCAAGTTGAAGCAGAAGAAGATTAAATAAACGACATGACTATGACGTGAGAGAGGGTAAAGGGTCATGACGATGTGATGAGTAGGGATGAAAAGGAGTGTAAGGGGGGAGAAACGACAAATGTACAATATGTGGTCTTTTGGTACGGGTGTTTGACAGACTTGTATTATCATCAGTTGAAAAAAAGAGCCTCTTTTGCGAGGTATTTAGACACACACACACATATATATATATACCTATATATACCATATCTGTATATTGCCAATGGTCATTCATTCAACAATCAAGCGTGTGGATACAAGTTTATCAAGTTCCTCAGGATGGTATCTCTTACGTTTCATTCATCAATCACCGCTCATGCAGACATCTTACAACTTGGCACTCAAAACCTCCTGCACCGCTTCCAACACCTTTCCATGCACCGCCAACGGCGCCGCGACAACACCCTTGTTGCCAGCGAGCGTCCGTCCGATGCCAAAGTCCAGCCTCTTGCCGTGAATATCCGTAACCTGGCCGCCCGATTCCCTCACAATGAGATCGCCAGCAGCGTGGTCCCAGATCTTCTCCTGATACGTCGCGCTCACGGGGAGGCGCAGGTAGATGTCGCCTGCGCCACGGGCAATGGAGCCGTACTTGGCCTGGCTGTCCATGCGGACGCTCTGCGCGGTGATTCCCAGCTTCTGTGAGATGGCGGCCTGGTCGCCGTGGGACGAGTGCCCAGCTTCGACGCTCTCGCAAAAGTTGGCCTTTGTCAAATCATCAATGGCGCGCATGGAAATGGGCGTGCCGGCCTCGACATGGAGATTGACCGTCGCGAGTGGGCGGCTCGTGGCGCCGTGGCCTTGGACAGCGGAGAAGAGCACGCCGTGGCCCTCGTCGGTCTGGTTCTCGCCAATGCCGGAGGTGAGACGGGCAGAGTCGTCGATGGGGAGGTTGGGGCATCCGAGGGCACCGACTTTGACGTCGCCGTCGACCATGAGGGCGAGGCAAACGGCATACTGGCCTCCGCGGAGGAAGCCCTTTGTGCCGTCGATAGGATCAATGGCCCAGATGCGTCCCTGAGAGCCGCCCGGGCTGTTTCCCTTGTCGATGAGCTCAACCATGGCATCGACATCCTTGACCGGTCCGCCGAGCAGCGTTTCGGCAGCAGCATCGTCCAGCTTGGTATCCTTGACCAAGTCCCAAACCGTGGCTCTCAGGTTCGCATCCTCCTTGAGCTTCGCAGACTCCTCCTCGGCGACAATGGCATCGTCCGGGAAGTTGTGCTGCAGGGCGGCGATGATGAGCGCCTGCGCGCCAAAGTCGCCGATTGTGACGGGGGACTTGTCGTTCTTGTCGACGGTTCCCTTGGCCTTTTCGTGGAAGACGCGCTTGGTGAGGATGGAGGCGCGCTGGACGGCGAGCTGGGCGATTTGCAGCTCCTTTTCGTACTTGTCCAGACGCATGGTTGCGGCTGTGGTGGTGGTGGTGGTGGTGGTGGTGGTGGTGGTGGTGAGGGAGAAGAATCGAGTTTGGCGGACGAGGGAGGATAGCTGTTGTCCGGGGTGGTGGACGAGGCGGGCGATGGAGAGCGATAGAGAAGCCGTTGTGGCGCCTGCGGAGGGGGGGAGGAGGGCGAGGATGAGGATGATGGCGGGAAGGACGAGGAAGAGGAAGAGGAAGAATCGAAGCTTTGGGAGGGAAGAAGATGGACTGGAGGCTGACGACGGCGGTGGTTTATGTGGAGATGAAGGAGGAGAGGACATTCAGCTCGCAGTCAGACGATGGGCAAGGCTTGATTGTGAGCTACAAGGACGATGTCTCTCGGTGCGTGTTTTGCTAGATGGATACCCATACGACAGGGGATGATGTTTAAATAGCAGTTGAATATATATACCAATCTTTAATATCGAAGAGATTCCCGATGGCCCGTGATATCGCTGCCACCCACTGCTAACCTCGCTGCTGTTTTTTACCCCGCCACACCCGCCTCCGATGTCCCGCCGCCCTGCGCCCGCTAACGAGCTCCCTGGATGGCGGGGCTCCTCCCCCGGCGCTCCGGCCACCCAATTTTCCGAGCCAGAGAAGAAAAAAAATGCCGTCTAATCACATCAGATGGGAGAATTGCTTGCAACATACTAAACTTAACCCGTGCTAACTACTAAATCCATAGCCTCACCCCAGCTTCTGCCCATCACCACCAAACCACCCTCTTTTCCTCTAAACCTCCAACACGATACAAACCTCACCAGCTTCCCTCCCGCAATGGCCGCTTCCGCTTCCTCCCCCGCCAACCTCCGCTCCCTCTACCGCTCCCTCCTCCGCGAGCTTCCGCCCCGCCCCATCCTCTCCTCTCCGCGAACTCCTCTCCACCGCCGCATCCGCTCCTCCTTCGTCGACTCTCCCTCAACTTCAACTTCTGCCTCCTCCTCCTCCTCACACGCCCTAGAACACCAGGCCCAGCTCGCCCAGCAGCTCATCGCCTACCTCCGCGCCCAGCGCATGTACGTCACCCTCATCGAGCGCTACAACCCGGGCATGGAGATGGACCAGGACGAGCGCATCCGCTTAACCGCCCGGAGAGTCGGCATGGATCTTCCCTCGGTGCAGAAGAAGAAGAAGACGACGCAGTGAGCGCGAGCTCTGCGAAGAAAGATGAAAATTGTTTCTTCTCCCTCTTCTTTTTTTTATATGTTACTTTGTGTTCTACTACTATTCGACTCTTATCTTTTTTTTTTATACCTGATTTTTGGGGGTGGGATGCTGTCGTGTGACCTATCCCGGCTTTATTTATATGAAAATACCCACGTATCCTGCGAAACCGCGCGGGAAGAGATGGGACGCGTTGGAGAAGCCAGAAATGCTGTGTAGCTATGCGCGGCTATTTGTAAACCACTTACACTGGAGCAATTTGGCGCTCGACGGAAACGAGCGCTCAAACGGAGTTGGCCATATCCACAGACAGTAATCTCTGTGAGCTTCATTGAGCTCGGTGCGTCACAATGACACGCACATGTACACATACAACAAAAGGGGAGGATATACCACTACACCAACTGGGAACGCAGCAACACAGGACCTGCACAGAGCTGAGAGGAATGAGAGGGACAAGGAGAAGGTGTCGGGAATCATCTCATCCAGGCACCGTCCCGTGCTGGCGTGAGGCGAGGGACATGCATTAACGGCCACTTTACGGAGTACTATAACAACCAAGATCGCAAGATGAAAGAGACTCTACAATGATATATCCACATCAATATCCACTCATGTTTTTTATATGTATACACGCGCCATGTTCGGCCATACATATCTACCTGCTGTATATATATACTACTACCTACTTATATACAATGAAATATCCGAAAATGCCAAAGCTCCAGGCCAGGTATAAATTTCCTCGATGGGGTATCAAAAATCAGGCACAAAGCATGTGTGTGCCAATTCCAACTCTTCGCTTGCCAATAATCAGATGTCGTGAAAAGCTCTTCTTCACTTTTCTTCATCTCTTTTGCATCATCGTTGAAGTCGTCGTTAAAAAAAAAGCGCCGTCGAATGTAAAAAAAAAAAAAAAAAAAAACGAATGAGCTGAATGGAAAGGGGGTAGATGAAGAAAAGGTAAATGAAAATCGAGCAAATGCACGCTCACACCACGCCAACTCCGTTATCTTCCAAAGACTCGTCCCATCCTCCCGTCTGCAGCAGCCATTCGCCAGCCCGCTGCTTCACTGCCGCCATGGCTGTCCCCAGTGAGCTATTCCACTGGTCCTGTACAACACGTACTTTTTCCTTGAGGTCCTCCGTCAGCCGGCGATTCTCCACCTCTCGCATCTGCTTGGCCCGCAGCTCTCGATCCTCAGGTCTGATGGGTGTGCCGTCTACTTCGGCAAGCTGCGTCGCAAGCACCCTGGCTTTGGCATTGACAACCGCCTCCTTGACCTCATGGAGAAGACACAGCTGGTTTGTGTGCGCCTCGATGAACTGATAGGTGCTCTTCTCGGCATGGAGCAGCAGGCTGTAAAGGTACTGCAGCGGGTGGTCGTGATACGCCGGGTTCTCCTCGTACTCTGATGCCGGGATTTGAACACCAAAATCCTCCAGATCCATCGGAATAGTATCCAAAAGACCGCAAAGCGGCGGTGCAATATCCCAAAACGCCGAAAGCTGTAGCTCGATACCGCGCGCAACCGCCTCTTCCATCACGGACCTGAATTCACGCGCCCGGTTAAGCACCTCGTTGGCAAATGCGTATTCTCGCTTCTCTGCGTCCTCCCTGAAAAATGCCTCTGCCGACTTGAGCTTCTCCGTGTTGCCAGACAGTCGATATGGTGTCAGCACAACGTCACGATAGCGGCCATTGCGGTCCGATAGCAAGTCGTAGATGGCCCGGTGCAGAGACTCGCGCTGCTCAAAGACCCATTTAAGGAGAGTCAGTTTCTCCAATAGCTCGGGCTTATCGTCTCCTTCTTCTTGAGGCATGTCGGCATCGATCTCGCTACTGTCGAATAAGTGCCGTGCCAGGTCATCGAACAGCTCTGTCGCTCGAGTGATTCGCTCCGTCAGAATATCATTCAACGGCAGTACCACCTGGTTCTGGAAATGCTCGTATTCCAGCTTCTCCGTCTCCTTCTTCTTATCCTTCTCCTGTTCATTAAAGTCGGATTCAATCGCCGCGGCATCGGCGTACCCCAAATTTCCCGAGTTGATTTCTTTCTGCAGGTTGGACCTCAGCGCGAGGCGACGCTCTCCTGCTGCCTTGGTAGCCTCCTCTCGGCGCCGGAGGCTGCTGGAAGCAAATCTCTCTTTTGATCCCTCAATATCCGCCAGCTCGCTCAAAGATCGTACCGAGGTACGAATCGATGTCAGCTCAGGATGGTTATTATTGACCGCAGGATGATGCCTTGGGTAAGGGGGTGGCATGGTGACCAATCTGGAAACATCTAAAAGCCCATGCCTGTTTGTCGCCGTCGACGGGGTAGAAGCCACGGACGTGTTCGACGGTTGAGGGGTCCATGCCGCCTCTCCCTGGTCATGCCAGCCTGTTTTTTCCGGAGGATACTCCGACGAAGAGCCTTGCTCGCTTATAGGCGCATAATTCGGAGTGTTTTGCTCATCTTCGATCCACTGGTCCTTGGGAACACCCATGTACTTGGACTCACGTTTGGATCTCTCAAAACCACCACGATTCGGGTCGCCATTCGAATCCGTCTCCCACCATCGACTGGGGGGTCTCCCACGTGAGCTATTCTCGTGGTTGTCACTCACGCTCATGCTAAGGATGGGGGAGAGCGATGGCATATAATTTGCGGTGCCGCCCCAGTTAAGGGGCTGCTTTATCCCGGGGGACGGTGGGAGGCTGCTAGATGCCGGGGCCGAGCTCGATGAGTCGTCAGCCTGGTGGACAGAGCTGACAGATCCCCTGTGAGACCGATTCGGTTCTGAAGACTCCGGAGTCCAATCACCCAGAGACTGTGAATTCATCGACTCTCGCCGGGCAGCGTTCATTGGGCGGAATAGATCACGGCTCAAATCGAAGATCTCGGACCCCATAGCGCCAATAGCTGATGAGTATCTCTCACGTCGAATTCTGGATTCGGTGACTATGAAATCTGAGAAGAGGCGGACTCGGTCTGCGTCTGTGGCAGCCGAGGCTTCCTTAATCGCAAATGATCGAAACCGTTCGATGGTGCCAGTTGCGAATTCGGCAGCGCTCTGGTTCACAATCACTTCTTTGGATGGCGACGCCGCCATGGACGCGGAGAGGCGTGATGCCTCAGCAATCATCGATCCAGAGGCAGACCTGGTCTGAGGCGGCGGAGTCGGGAGGGATTTTGGCACAGCACCTTGGCTTCCGCCGCGTTGTCGGTAGGCCTTGCCTGGTGTTGGCGAAAACGGTGGCGTGGCTGCTTCGTGGTGTAATAACGTGGCCGAATCCGGTGCCCGAGGTGTCGAATTACGGGAATCATGCTGACTTGATGATTCCCCAGTAAGAGGTTGGTCCATGGGGGCTTTCCCACTGCTCCGGGGAGTTGTCTTGCCAACAGTAAGCTTACGAGCCAGGCCACCAGCCGGGGGAACAACAATGTCGGCAATATGCCGTCCCTGTAACGTGCTGTCAATGGATCCCCTGGATTCATGTCGAGAGTGACTCTCGCTTCTCCTCTGTAAAATGGTCTTGTCATGGCGCACAGCCTTGGCACGATTCAAGCCACTTGCGCTGCCTGATGAATTCAGGGGTGGCTCTATGGGCTCGCTAGGATTGCTCGCAGTCATCGTATCAATTGTCAGGTTAGGAGACCGCCCTTTTGCCGGCGGGGCGGGATGCGGTAGCTGCATTTGTCGTGACGACTCGCCGGTCTGGACGGACGCGAGAGGATGTAACTGCGCAGAGGATACTTGGGTCTGTGGTCGAGCGGCAGGCGGCGTGTCACTGTCAACCCAGTCGGCGGGCGTTGGGGGAACGGGTCCTAGGGACGATATACCGGAAGGGGGAGGCCGGCGAGTTGGTGGGGAAATGATGGGCACATTGTTCCTGTCCATGCCCTGTACGCTTTGTGATCTGCTCGACGAAGGCGGAGGTGGCCCAGGCGGCGGCGGAGGGAGCGGCATGCCAGGCTCCCACCTCGTCTGAGAAGTAGATCGTGAGCGGGCAGACGTCGGCGTATCGATGGCGCCCGTGGAGGCAGCTCTACGAGATGCCGGGGGAAATGCGTCAACGTTGACAGCAGATGTGGCTGCGGCTCGTTCTTGCTCCATGGCGTGGAATAAGGCAGGGCCAACGCTCCGTCTAGACGCGGGCATCGGCTCTGGGGAGCTGGCTGATTCGGTGTCTCTCCGTCTTCCCAAAGATGCCAGCGCAAAGAGACGCTCTCGAGAACTTCCCCTGCCACTCGCACCCGGCGGAGGAGGAAATGAGCGGGTAGCAGCAGCTGGCGGCTCGGGAGAGGGCCGGTGACCCAGCATGTTAGAGAAGCGCGAAGGAGGATTGGCGGCCACTTGCGCCGGTACGTATTCGAAAACCATACTGGCAGGACGAGGTTGCTGCATGTTTCTCCTAGGAGTGTATGGCGGAGGCGGAGGGGGGTTTGATGGTGAAGCTGTCATTTCAAATCTGGTCAGCACACTACACTGTTGCCCATTTGCAGGTGGTCCGAAGGGAGATGTTGAAGAGGCCCAGCAAAGATCTAGGAGAGACGTAGGAAAGGTTTCTAAAAACAGCTATCAAGGGAGAGTATCAACGAGAAAAATGAGAAAGGGATCCCCACCCTGAGCTTCACTGCCCACAAACTGCAGAGGCCTCTCTGTCGCTGCCATGGCGGCTGGCGATGCTACCCATTCCTGCGGATTATACGGCAGGATGGCGCTGCCAGGCGTGTGTATCGTCTGGACATGAGAGGAAGCCATGGACACAGCGGATATGGGCGAAACGAGCTGGTTACCGTAGCCCGCCAAGGACGTGGTTGAGAGCGGATGAAGGGCATGGCGAAGACGCGTGGGATCACGGGGAGAGGAGGAAGACATATTGGCTCAAGCTCCCAGAGGCCCAACCGCCCGCCGTCTCCTAAATCGGTGACCCTTGACCCTTGACCTGGGGGGCACAAAGAGGCTTGCTGAGGAGTGCTGAGGCTGCCGAGGGATGCGACTTGGAAGGCAGGTGGAAGATTGGATCTGGAGATGGGACCCCAGGCCGGACCTGATGTCAGAACTATCGGCGGCAGCGCACTCCACACCAACTCGGAGGCGGTATGCCAGATGAGGTCTGTGTTTCGTTCTATTTGGAGGTCTCGCCTGGCATCCCTGGATACACCCAGAGCATCGATTTCAGGTGGCGGACAGAGGCCGGTCGACGAGGAGCGCTCGGATTGGCGAGGAGAGGGCGAGAAGAGGGCGAGGAGGGGGGAGAGCCGAGCCGGACTAGCGACAAGACCAGGAAGCAGGGCTGCTACCATACAGGTACGGTACAGGCACGAGATGTTCCCTGTACGAGTACAGGACTCCGGACAGGCACTTGACGCAGGAATGGGCAACCGGGAAGCGATCAAACATGGCGAGTCGCACGGCATCCCGTAGTGGGAAAAGGAGCGAGCCGCGGCGGAGGTACGAGCATGTACATTCGGCGCGGCTGGGCTTTGGCTTGGCCTGGACGTACCGGTTCGAGTTCGGACACTAACACCGCAGCCAGACACGAGCCATTAAAAGAGGCAAGGCATGCATCAAGGCAGCGCGCATGGCAGCGCATTGAGGGGCCGTTTGGTGGTGATGGCGAGATGTGCTTGGCCGAGCGCGAGTTTGGCGGTCCCTGTGGAAGCGGCGCGCTAAGCCGAGCCCGGACGAGGCGACCAGCCTGTGGCGCCAGTGCGCAAATCCCATGTACAGGGTACCAGGGATCTTTTGTACCCGCTGTTTCTACCTGTAATACTCGTACATGCGCTCTGCAGCATCTGCACGTGTGTTGAATCCCTCCCGTCCCTATAACGCCTCCATGGCACTACTGTACCTCCTATAACACAGGTATTACCTGCAGTTGGATGGATGGACGTTTTATTGTTTCAAGATGGCAACCAAGGATCTCGATGGCTGCAAGCCTGCTGAAGGATTCCCGCCGTCGACTCAGGATTTGCCTAAAGCGCATACCCGGACGCTCCATGAGATACCAGGGACGGACCGGCGTGTGATGGAATGTGACGACAAAGTGGGCCGCCTGTTTTCAAGAAGACAACCGAACGTGCATTGTTCGTTTTTTTCCTTATCAATCATGCCTGCATGCGACTGTTGGTTACAGGTTGATTGGGGATTTAGGCTGCATGGAGGTGTGAAACTTGCATTGCCCATCTTGACCTGATCAATGTGGCGTGCTTTACTTTGCACATTTACAGAAAGCACGGATAAGGAGTGGGATGCCAAACCGGCGTTACAAACATGTGATGTGGCCTGAGAAATACGGAATACGGTAGGCAGACATCGAGGCTATCGCGAAGTGCGTGCCTTGAGAAAATCCAGTGCTGGTGGTGGTACGGGGTACATTCGACCAAGTACTCGGTACGAAGGCGTCTGCCACTAGACATGCGACCGCCCCTGCGTGGATCGCGCTTTTTTTTTTTTTCTTCTGCTTTCGACGCAAGTTTATTATCGAGAGCCGGCTCCTGTTGGCTGGAAGAAACAATGCGCTACTAAGCGCCGGCAGCCATTGAACCACATGTGTTCCTAATATAGCTGCCAATCAGGGCTGCAGACGGAGATCCATTCTCCAAGAATAGATCGGCGCTCCCACCTTTGGATTCTGCATCAAGGAGCGACAAAAAGGAACGGAAGGATTGGTAACTGAAAACACGGACGATTTCTTGCAGAATTTGCTCGCTTTTACCTTTCCGAGACTATTTGCTCGGTTTTTGACTTTTCACTTGTTTTATCTGCTTTTTTCCATCTTCAAGTTCATGATACGATACAGATAACATACTCGGACATACACAAAGAGTGCATCAATTTGTCCTCTGTAGCCCTGCTCTTTCGGCAGTTGGTGGGCTTATAACCACCCGGCCGGCATTTTTGCGCATACTCATCCTTGCCCTTCCACATTCCCCTTGGTAAGATGGCCGGAAGCAAAAAATAGCAATCGACGACCCTTTACGATTTGGAATCTGCTATAAGGGGCGTCAGATTTCCCCTTTTCCCCCCAATGACGAGCTCGCCAATGGTCTGTGAAGAGTACGGAGTACGGAGTACATGCTATTACTCTTTTTTGGCAGCCGTTATATTCTGAGGTCCCGTGTCATGCAACCGCGCTGATAACGGCGCCAGACTCAAATAGTGTACAGCCTCGCTGACCCGGCACTCGGCCGCTCTACTAATCTGACTTTCAGGTTCCTCTGCCAGATTCAGCTTCAAGGGCGCTAGCCCCGCCTCTCACTGAGCTTCTTGCTGAGAATGAGGCACGGCGGGCAAACTAGCACGCCCTGTTGTGTCGAATGGATTCCTCAAACTGGCGTTGACATAAGCGGAAGTAATCACACCTATTGAAGCGGCTATTTAAACCACTAACACAGTACGGGCCGCCTTCAGCAAGTGGTTATTAACAGCCGCTCGGCTGTAGTCTTCCTGCTATAGGGTAAGGATTATACGCAGATGCTTGGACGAGGATAGAGACTGTGCCAAGGACCTGGAATCATGATGTTACTCTGGTGATGTAAGTAATAGGCCCTACAGATATTTAGATGATTTGTCTTCCATTACGTGCGCCTTGCACATACCGGAGTGCCCACACCCAACCGGATCACGATGAATGGCAAGCAAATACAATTATAGAAAAGGGTCTGAGCGGCACAATATCCACAAGTAATCAGAGTCCGGACGGGTCGTAAGACCTAGCATTGCAGTACCGGTATATTGGGTGAGGATATGTCACTTGACTTACTTCACCAAGGCTTAATCTTAATCATTCTTGTGCCACGGGAATGGCTCGGCAGCACATCGCTCAAGGAGTCACAAAACTTAACCCTCTTCAAGCTTACTCGAACTCTTCAGCTGCCTTGCACGATAGAGCTGCGGGTGTATAGCGGATGTTCCGGATAACATGAGCATTCCCCTTTTGTCTTGTTTGTGAAATCTCACGGCCAATCGGAGCTGCTCCTTATCTAGCTGTCAAGTCGGCGTCTCAATGCACCGAAGTCCCAGAGAGGTGTGAAGCAGATCAAGCATAGCAGGAGTTTAGGGGCCTTCTAATCGCCTCCCTCTGTCCTCGAGCTATTACTGTCACCATCATCTCCCACCTAATCGTGCGTGCACAAGGCAAATATGCCGCCAGCCGCAGAGCCACCCAAGTGCACATGTGTCCTGTAGGACGTGCTTGAGTCCATTCACGAATTACGTTGCTCTATACGGCTTACGTAATAATTGATTTATTTCGTGAGGCTACGTTGACCAGCCAATTACACTAACAGCAAAAGGTGGAGACGAGGCTCATAAAAATTCTAGAGGCTTCTGAAGGTCTCTTTCTTCCTTCTTCAAGCAGCCCGACAATTCTCTCCTTCTCTGCTTCAAACCAACATTCCACCCTCACGCCATACTCTTACTTCTTAATCAGCTCTAATCAATACGGTACGTTGAATACGAAGCTTCCCATACAACTGCCCACCATTGCATAGCCCCTACATGATGAGATACCAGCTGGCACCAGTCATAGAGTGATTTGTACTCCCTTTCAGTGATGACCAAAATGCTTAGGTCCAAGACCACTTCTGAACCTTTGTTTGCAAACTCAAAATTATGCCTTGTTCTTCTGCTCGATCTAGGGTTGACATTGAAGCTAACCACTGGATCGAACAGGACCTGCCCGCTGCGCGGACGACCGGTTAAAATTTTTCTATTCTCTAAGCTTGCTCGTCAAAATGGTTCTGCACAACCCCAACAACTGGCACTGGGTGAACAAGGATGCGTCTGCCTGGGCAAAAGAATGGTTCGAGGAAAACTTGACCAAGCTTGAGACCGAAAATGGAGACGTCAAGGCCAGAGTTACCAAGGTCCAGAGCATGAGTGGTGACGTTGACGTCAGCCAACGCAAGGGGAAAGTCATCACCATCTTTGATGTTAAGCTAGTGCTGGAGTATTCTGGTATGGTAGACCTCAACGTTCATGGTGAGGGCGTCTGGGGCTGACTTTCCCCCTAGGGTCCACTGCCGAGATCGACGAGGTCTCTGGTAACATTACTGTTCCCGAGATTGCCCACGATACGGAAGAGGACGAGTACGTGGTATGTATAGTTGCCCTCTAGCCTTGCCTTCTTCTCGCATTTAGCTAACGACCCGCATCTAGTTTGAGATTGACATCTTCTCAGAGTCAAAGGAGAAGCAGCCCGTCAAGGATCTCGTGCGGTCAAAGCTCGTTCCTCAGCTCCGAAAAGAGTTTCAGAAACTTGCTGGTGCCTTGATCACTGAGCATGGAAAGGATATCCAGCATGCCCCCGGCTCCAATCCTTCCAGCGGCTTCTCTACCCCGCGAACCCTCCCCCAGGCTGCACCAAAGGCTGCAGCTCAACCCACAACTTCTCAAACCAGCAGCTCGGGCGTCGTCAACACGGTGACAGTGCGTGACGACCAAGAGTTCCGTACTACTGCCGAGGAGCTGTATCAGACCTTTGTCGACCCTCAGCGATTGGCTGCCTTCACTCGGGCGCCGCCAAAGGTGTTTGAGGGAGCAAAGGCAGGAGGCAAGTTTGAGCTCTTTGACGGCAACGTCTGCGGAGAATACCTTGAGCTGGAAAAGCCCAAGAAGATTGTTCAGGCCTGGAGATTGAACCAATGGCCAGCCGGCCACTACTCGAAGCTCAACATTGAGTTTGACCAGAACGACATCGACCACGTTACCGTCATGCGCGTCACCTGGGAGGGTGTTCCTGTCGGCCAGGAAGACGTGACTAGGCGTAACTGGGGCGAGTATTACGTGCGAAGCATCAAGCAGACCTTTGGGTAAGTTTTCATCATTCGCTGAACATGTCGAAGCCCTCCAGAACAAGACTAACTTTTGGGGAATCAGATTTGGTACCATTCTATAAGCTGAAAAACACATCAATTGGAAACACGCACATTTTTTCTTTATAATCAAAGCGCTCTAGATGAGGGTAGAGACAAGGGGTCGGCATCTCTGCCAATGGTGGCGGATGGGTATATACTTTATTACTAGGTAGTCTTGGTAGGTCTACGCAAGACCTAGACGCGTGTAGATACGACGAACATGAATGATGATACGAAGACGTCCAACAAGAAAGGGGGGGAAATACAATATAAAAACCCATTATTCCAACAGTATCGATGAATTTGTTTCATTCTCATGCCGCGAATGTAGCGTAAGAGCTCTTTTTTCTTTATTGAGGATATCCAGACTTGGTGTTGGAAAAACTCCGCCCTCGAGGTCGACGTTCGGCTGGGGGCTCCCCTGTTCCGTCATCAAATGCATAGTTGGAAAAGAAGACGTCGCCAAGGTTATGCCACAATCCCATGTCGTATAAGTTGTCGACGGTTTTTAGGTCCCATACATGCTCCCACTCGCCCTCGCCTGGGTAATTCCCTTGGTTGCTTGGCGGCTGCGCGTCTTGGGTGGCCAATATGATGTGCTCTGGCGACGAGGGCCACCGAGGACACAGTGGCTCCAACCGCAGGTTACGCGGCCGGTTAGGCGCCAAGGGACGTTGAAAGGCATAGCCGTCCCTCATGTCCTCCTTGTAGTCTGTCCATTTCATGGACTCGTTGGTCGTGGTTCCGCAGTAGATGAGGAAGACAGTGTAGATGAAGAGAGCCCATATTAGGGGAGAGGTGAGGAGAGCGAGAAGAGTGGCAGCGCCGACGCGGATGTCGCCGTGGAGGCCCCAACCCCAGACAGCAAGATACTCGCTGAATTCCAACTCTTGGCCCGGCCAGACGGTCCACAATGGGTACTCTTCTTTTATCTTCGACGTCAATAGGTAGAGGCCTAGCAAGCCGCCGTAGGTCGCCAAGACGCATGTCGATAAAAGCAGGAGAAGGAACCAGTGGTGGTTGCCGTAGCCCACGCACGAGTTGATGAAGACACAGTGGTGATCGGCCCTTGCGATGCAGCGTTTACAGACATCACAGTGCTTTGACCGCGCGGGCTTCAGGAACCGACAGGTGCGGCATTCGTTGCCCGGGTGGAAGAGGGCGTAGTCGTAGGGGTAGAGAGACATGTGGTACGCATGATTCTCGCGGGTGATGTACCCTGGATCGGCGGAGCAGGCGAGATACAGGAACACGTACGGCAGGATGACGACGATGGCGGCGGTGAATTTTGTGAAGAGGCCGATCCTGGGCCAGACGTCAGGGAGGTACATGTACTCAGAGACCGTCATGATCAATAAAAAGAAGATCTGGAAGACATGTGTAAGCCGTGGATCATATGTATAGAGAGCCATTGCAACTACATACCACGATCGTTGGATGACGGTCATACATGAGGCGATTATAAATCCATGACATCGATCCAGTCACTCGCCCACCAGTGAGTGTCTGGTCTATACTCGTCACCAGGTTAGGGAAATGAATCCATATCAGCTTGTATAACCAGGCGATGGGCGTTTTCCTACGTGCCTCATGTGTTCAGTAACAAGCCCCTCTTGTACACAGATGCCCCTCTATAACTCACCTCAAAGCCGGAAGTCTGCCGAAAAAGGTAATGAATACCATAAAAGATATGGCTAGAATTACAATAAGAATCTTCTTTAGGGTGTCCATCGTGGCGGACGGGTCGAGCAGGCAGGACTACGGCATCTGAAGTTAAAAGGTACAGACCGAGAAGTCCTGTGCTGTAATTTCGTATATACGATCCAAAATATATCGTTGAGGGACTAAAAGCTCTTATACCTTTAATTTTTTTGAGGGGGGAAATAAAAAAAGAAAGAAAGAAAGAAAGAAATAACAAGAGAAATGTAATAGATGCTACGAAGCCCGTGTACTGCAGCGCGCTGAAAAAGAAGCAAAAGGAAACAAATGAGCAAGGATAATAGAAAGGTGGCTGAGCTGGACAAACAGCTGTCACCAGCTGCATCGCAAGCAAAATATTGGTGTTTACTATTCATATCGCGGGGCGCCTAGGCCCCCGATAGTAGCCTTGCAACTGCACCGTAACTGCAACTGCATTTGCAACTAGAGGCCAAGGGAATGCAGCGCATGTGTCACGTGACCCCGCGACGTCCATCACGCGTCTCATGCGTTGGGTGAATGAGTTTGGCAGTCAAGAATGAGCAGAAAGGCACGGACAGCAAAGAAACGAACGCGGAATAGAGCGTGGGATTTGTTGCCAAAGAGATTCGGCGCTGAATTTGAACTCATGCAGCACCGCTGGGGGCGTGTTTCTGCCCTTTTCACTCGATTTTCCCTTGATTGATATTGCAGAGCCTCGATCCCTTCACTCACCTCGGAGTCGGTCAACGCCCGTCAGCGCAACAACGCTCTTCATCTCGTTGAGCATGAATTTCATCCAACTCTAGGGGATTCATATAACCGGGGATCATCGCCATTGAATTTTTTACTCTCAAACCAGCATTCAATCGTATGCAATGGCGTCGCACATTACGTATGATGGGGTTACAGGCGCGGCGGCGGGTGGCAACATCTTCAGGAATATCAAGTTCTGGGTTTCCAGAAGAGTTCCCCAAAGAGACAGCATTCTCGACAAGATTCAGGTATGATGACAACTTGCAACTATGCTCAGCCTGTTGCTAACAGTTTTCATTTCCCACAGAGCAACTCGGGCGTTGTCGTCGCTCGGGAAAAAGATGCAGACATGCTCATTGCAGACCACGCACGAAAAGATGCACCACTGGGCTCATATTCGTGGAAGTACATCACAGAGTCTGTAAACGCCGGCATTATACAGGTCGAAGACAAATATCTCATAGGCCCTCCACCCAACCAGCACCGATCAGTGCTCACGGGCGCACATGTCAAAACAACTCGGACGAAGTTCACCGAACAAGACGACGCCATTGTTGCCAAGTGGATTCTCAAGAATGGGATCAATACGGCTGGGAATAAAATGTACATGGAGCTAGAAGACGCAGTATGTCTGCATCAGTTGCCTCTTGTTCCCCATCTAACTTCCAAAAAAAAAAAACCCCATATTCTAATCATGTCTAGTATCCCCATCATCCTTGGCAGTCATGGAGGAACCGGTGGGTAAAGGTCTTGTCAGCAAGGTCCAATGCAGAGATAGATCGCCTGGCAAGATTGGCCAACGTGGATGTGGATAATGCCCCAGTAACCGCGAGGCATATCATCAGGAAACACCAGAGAGAGGACTGGCCACAGGCACCTCAGAACAACGCTGTCCCTAACGCCAACCGAAATCCTCAAAATCACAACGTACCGGCGCCTAGGATACCTAGAAGTGAACAACCTCGACCTCGAGATGTGGCATCCTCTGATCGCAATAGGAGAAATGTCACAGATGACGCACCCTCCAGGCAGAATAGTGAGCGGAATGAAGAAGAGGACACGGCTATCCATAACGATACGGCTGGTGGAGCTAGGTCAGCTACTGTCAGAGAGGCTGAGAGGGAATCAAAACAGGAAAATAAGCAAAAGGAAAGTGCTAGAATGGAACCAGAAGGCGAATTAAGAGAGGAAGAGGAAAGAAATGCGGAACAAGACACTGAAAATGACGACAGCCAAGCTCTATCTTCCTTCTCGGAGAGAGAGCAGTTCCTCAACGATCTCCAAGACTACTGCGAGGCAAATGGCAAGGCACTTGACACGCGGTGTGTTATTGGGAAAAAAGAAGTAGACCTGTGGGAATTGTTTCGCGCAGTTAGCGCGCAAGAACTACCCCCAGATGAACTGGACTGGCGGCAAGTGGCAGAGAACGTGGGACTCGGGCTGGTGCGAAACGGCGAGGCCGTCGCTGCTTTACTGAGATCGAGCTACAATTGTCATCTCGCAGACTTCGTAGAGGCCATGATGAGCTTTGAAGAGAACGAGGAGGATCCTGATGAGGAGATTGCTGAAGGCGAGGAAACGCTCATAGGAGAGGGAGAAACTGAGGCGGAATCCAGAACACCACGGGCCTCACAGAAAAACGGCGCAGCATCTCCATTATCAAACGACACCGGCGGTATCGAACTGAGGAAGAGGTTACCAGATGGGCAGCTTTCGACACCAACCAAACTAGCCAAGCGAAGGCGAACAGTGCATGCCGAGATTCCAGTGACTCCCGAAGACAAGCTGAAGACCGGTAGGCCACCGTCCGCACCAGTATCAGCACCAGGTAATCTACAAAGCACGGCAGACCAAGAGCAAGAATTGCCAGAGGTGGTGGAGGACTCGCAGCAAAGGACACCACGGCATAATCAACAACACCAGCGATCGCCTGATGAGCCAGATATGACTCCCTCCCAACAGCTACGAAGCGAATCTGATTCGATTGCGAGCCCCGAACAGGGTGAATCAAGGACCCCCACTCTCTATTATAGTCCGACAGCATCTTTTCCCCATCGGAATAGTCAACTTGAAACAATACAAGAGGAAGACTCAACCACATCTACGCCGACAAAGTCGAGACCTAAGAGGCGCGAGCTCCCGGCGTCTTTTCAAGTGCCTCGAGAACCTCGGCTCATGCAGCTTGAGGAGAGGCGAGAAAAGAGGCGGCAGCTGGAACAAGAACGACGACTACGGCAACAGCAGCGGCAGCAGCAACGATTGGAAGAGCATCGGCAGCAAGAACTACGCCAGGAAGAAAGGCGGCGCGAGGAAGAGCAACAACAGCAACAGCAGCAGCAAGAAGAGCAGCAAGGTGATGAAGCACAGGAACAGGAACTGCAGCGGCAGCGATGGCACCAAGACGCAGCCGACTCGAGCGACACCGACCCAGAAGTCGTCCAGCAGAGCCAGGAACAGTTCATCTCCTGGAAGCAACACTACCGCGACCAGGGCTTCTCCGAGGACATCATCATCGAAGCCATGCGCCGCACCACAATGACCCCCGGCGAAGCCATGGAGGCCGTCCTCGCCAGCCTCAGGGACGGCCAGGGCATCCCGCCCAACCACGAGGGCATCTGGACGGACCGCGACGACGCCCAGCTGAAATACGTCGTCCGCGTCGGCGACCTGCGGCGCGCCCCCGACGACGACGGCGATGCGCGGCGGCGCAAGGAGAAGGCCCGCGAGATGCTCGACCGGCTCCTGTTCAAGCACGACGAGCCCAGGGTCAAGCTGCGTAGGAAGTTTCATCGGGCGGTGGCCTTGGCGGAGAGGGACAGGCGGCGGAGGGACAGGCTGTCGAGGGAAGGGAATGGTCAATGATTTACATTGCTTACCTATGTTACGTTTTGAGAGGAACATGTCCAGCGTGTGCGCTTTCCGCCTTTTCTCTCTTTTATTACAGCAACGAATGGAGCGAAGAAAAAAGGCATCTCAGTGTTTATCGAGGATGAAATGACCAAGTGCTCTCAGCATACCACCATGGCAAGCAGAAGCATTTATATAGTATGAGTGTTTTACTGTCTTTTTTTCTTTCATGTTTATCCCAAGTATATACTTATACATATATACACAATGATGGAATTCCATCATTCTCAAAAATCAATCGCTCGCCAACCTTCACTCTCTGCGCTGCAGAGTATGTCCATAGTGCCATCCCTCTATGGCGATATCCGCCCTCACCTTGTACACCTCCTCTGCAATGTCCAGGACCTTCAGATCAACGTCCACCACAGTCATCGCCTCCTCAACTCCAAGCTTGCCAAGGGCTCCCTGCAGCGGCATCGCCACCTGTGTCAGGCCAATAAACTCTGTGCCCTCTTCGTCCTTGCCACTCGTTCCGCTTCCCAACGGTGCGCCCGTGTTGCAGAACACAAAGCCGCACGTGTTCTCGAATGCTCGGGCCACGGCCACGTTCTCCAAGAACAGGCGCTCGCATTCCGGGTTCACCTCGGCACCGATATCGCCTCCGTCGCTGTTGAGCCAAAAGGTAGGGCACACGACGAACTTGGCCCCGTCGGCAACCAGCGCACGGCATGCCTCGGGGAAGGCCAAGTCCCAGCAGATGATGAGTCCGACACGACCCCAGGGAGTATCAAACGCCCTGTGCGGCGTCAATCCATCGGCCGTCAGGTGGTCTCTCTCGGGGTGCCACAAGTTCTTCTTCTGGTAGCGTCCCAGGACGGCGCCGTCCGGGCCAATAAAGTACGCCGCATTCGCAATTCCTTCAGTCATGGAGGCGTTGCCTTCCTCCGCAGGTATGGGCTCCAGGATCGTGCCCGGGGCAATGGCGATGCCGAGCTCCTTGGCAATGGCCTGATACCGTGCAAGATATGGCGTCTGCTCCTTGGCCGTGGCGAGGAGGATCTTGGAGTCGGGCTTCCATGAGCCGAGATGGTACTCAGGAAGGACCACCAGGTTCGCGCCCTGTGAGGCGGCTTTGCGGATGTATGACTCTGCGCGAGCAAAGTTGCCAGCTACGTCGAGCGGCTAAAGTTGGTGAACAATTAGGAGCCAAGATCAGTCTTCATAATTGCTTCCTTGGAGCTGCAGCAGGGGTCGCTGGTGGCACACGGGCAACGAATGCCAAGGCAATACGTCAGGAATGCAAACTCACCTTGGAATACAGCTGAACCAGCGCAATCTTCAAATTCGACGCCATTGTCCCAGAAATTCAAATGCCAACACAAGTCAAAGTGTACCGAGGAATCTTTGAAAGGACAAAGTTGAGTGCCAAGAGATGTTTTCTAGTAAACCGGAACCGGCCCGGTCGAGATAAAGTCAGCTATAAATGCGCAACTCCATATGGGGTAACCCAATCTTGACCGAAAGCCGGCGAAAAGCTGACATCGACTGCGGAGAGGGCGCCGGGTCTGTCCAATTGCACGGCGCGGCTGGACCCCGCGATTCGGTCACTAGCTAGCTGTACTCGATATTTCTGTTATCAAATCCCGAAACTCGAGTCAGGTTCAGTGATAATAGGCTATCCCATGCTAATATTCTCCATGATTCCACATAAGAACTAGTAGGAACTCTCTCCCAAGAGGCCACGAGGCCACCGGTTTCGTGCGGAACAGACCGGAAGGCTGCGTGGTGATCAGCCTTTAGATCGATCCATAACTGTGTTGCCCAACGAACCAAAACTGCCCATCCACAACTGATCTAGATGATTGCTTGCGTATTTCGAAACCCATTAAACTCCTGCTTCAATAATATTTGGTGGTGACCCTGTCCGTTAGAGCCGCTTCTGGAATACTAATATGAAAACGCCACTCCAGAGTATTCGTGTCCCAAACGCCATATCCCCATATACCTTTCAAAAAAAATGGAAACCCAATGATTTCCGCTGTTACGCTCGAGAAGCCTCGTCGAGTTTAAATTGGTGAAGATCGTCGCGGGAAAGCCCATTATTCGAATAAATAGCCTCATCAAATGATGGTGTCGAATTCGCTCTGAGGGGCACCTTGTTATGAGACGAAAATGCTGTGTGAATATCACTTCCATAATGCTTGACAATGGATATTCCGAATCCAACCATCTCGCCTATGTTTTGCTTTTGTTAACATTTCGCACCGAGGACGGCTGATCTACCCCAGTATCACTCACCTAAACTAATAAGCATAATATTTCGTGTTGCAGAAGGTGGGAGTCCATACGAGCCAACAACCAGAGACATGAGTGGGCAAAATACGTGCGGCCACCAAGAACCCCAGCCAAAGCCGCTGTAGATGGAGCCTCGAAGGGTGACGGCTGATGACGAAGCTGAGTCTAGAATGTCTATCAGATCCGAAGCTGTTTGCTGGGCAGAAACAAGCTGTTCTTGGTGGCCTTTGTGCTGAGCCAGTAAGGAGTCAGCTAAACCTTCGAGTTTTTTCATGCCCTATTCAAACTCCATCAGCTACTCGCGTTTTGGACAGGAACCAACACGGGCAACGTACCGTCTCTATACTCTCCTGCCTTAACGCAACTGCTGCAGCTGCGGACTGAGAGATTTCCTAACCAAAGGTCAGGGGAGGGAAAATGTCATATGCAAAGGTAACTCACAATTTCTCTATGCAGATATGTGGACGAGGCGGTTGCCGCGCCAAGCGCTGCCAAAATGACGTCCACTTCATTGGTGATTCGTAGTGTGGCCTCTTGTAAAGCAGACTCATGAGAAGTTGTTAAATCGTGACTCTGATTCTGTGTCACGTCGACCAGCATGGATAGCAGTGTTTGTAATTGCCTTGCCTCGCCAAGTCCATGAGTAACAAAGTCCGCTGATTGCTGTAAGCTCTGTTAGTGTCAATCCTGAGAACTATTATGTGAATCTAATATGCTGACCTGTACGTTTTGAACTATGTGATCTCTGAATAGCGCATCTACCTCTGTGATGCTACTTTTGAGATGATTCATCTGAGGCTTTAGATTCTCCACAGTGGCTTCTGCTTCCTCGAACATTTTGTTCATTGATTGAAACCGTGCCTCTATATCTTCTTCGAGCTGTGTCGTCAATTTCGCAAGAATACTAGTCAGCCTCTGATGGAGTCGGATGTTTTGATCTAGAATAGGATTAGTCGAGCCCCTTTGTTGTGTCACAGGGTTACACAAGCTACATACCTTTCTCGTTGTCCGCACGAGCTGCTTCGCAAAATCGCAACGTCTTATGGCGATAGCTCACCCAAGTATTCCAGGCGGAATCTGACTGTGCCAGTCCCTCGAGGCAGCCATCGATCTCGGATGTCGTTACGTGTAGTTGTGGCTTGGTCGGCGGAGACATACGGGCGAGTATCGATTCCTGAAACTTGGAGCAAGGGGAGGGGATAGTGAAGCTACCTCTTTCCAAGTCACATATGGCTAGGCTTGCAGCATATGAGTCGACAAAATCACGGGCCGCTCTTCCACTATCAGTCAACATTGTTGCATCATTCCGGCCATCGAGTAGTTGGCAGTTGTTGATCAAAAGGCGGGCCGCAGTACGGTGGCATAAGGGCTCCGATTCCAGCTCCTGCAACTCGCTGAGCGCAGTGGCATACATGGCAGGCAGTTGTGAAGAGTCAAGTCTGGAGGTGATAGTAGAACGACTTCCGGACGATGGCAAATCAGCAGAATAGTTAAGCCCTGGGACCAGATTAGCAACAGTTTGTATCTGGTAGGGGGGAAGTGTGTGAATAGGATATTGACGACTCACTGCCGCCGCCCCTGCGCCCTCCCCATGAGAATCCGAGAACTCCATTAAGGAGCAGGAGAGTAATTTGGAAGATGCAGAAAAAGAACGTCAAGGCTGGTGCCATCGTAAGAACCAAGACTCTGGGCTTCCTGAGAGATGCAGGATATAAACGGTCGAGAGGGGCGTCTATCCACAGGGCTTCTATGTTCCGTCCAAACTCGAGTATCGTTTCTCTCCAAACCCGGACTGCGATTCGGTTATGGTGTTTTAGTAAGATGTCGGGAAAGAGATTGTAAGAGGTGGCTTCACGGCGGTAGAGGAGTGGTGCAAACGTGGGCAGCTGATGGGCTACTTTGTTTGTGCATCGACGGCGGTTATTTTTCTCCCATCTGATTCTGGTTGCGCGTTTGGCATCTCCGGTCTATCGCGCAAAAGATGATGGAAACGAGGAGATGATGGGCAAACACAGAAAACTTTGGCGATGGTAGCTGACCGAGCTCGTGCCTGCAGATTGTCGGCGCTGCCAGTCGCACCTGCCACAAGCGAGCGGGTGCACGACGGCCCGGCACCTCCTTCCTATGTATATTTTTTCGAAAGCTCCTTTTACTGTTAAAATTGTGTCGTTGGCAGGATTCACATACTTTCAGGCATTTCTCAACAACGAATTTGTTAAAGGATCGTACAGCAAAGTTGCAAACGCATCGCGATATAAGACACTGCCACCAAGCATCGAATACAACACCAGAAATCCTCTTTGCCCAGATACACACAGTCGCATGACTAGTTGCTATGGGTTGTCTTTTACATCACAGCTTTAAGCCGACTCAGCATCCCTGCATCATCTACTCTGGGCCTGATGATGACTTTGGGGTTCGTCACCGGCTCGAGAATGTGAACCGGCATTATTCGGTCGTCTTTCTCAGGAACAACGACGGTACCTCCATCAGGAGCAACGATATCAACCGCATGGATGATCATAGCGGCAAATAGCAGAATCTCATTGGTGGCAAAGTCACGGCCAGGACACAGAGTCTTGCCACCGCCGAATCCCCGAAACGCTGCTGGGTGAAAGCCATCGCTTTTCCCCTTCTCTTTGAGAAACCTGCCAGGGTTGAACTCGTCTACGTCTTGGCCCCAGATGGTGCTCCTGGCGTGAATTGCTCCGCCAGATATCTGGACAACAGCACCCTTCTTCAAAAAGTACCGGTCGGCCAGCATCGTATCCTCTTTGATCAACCGAACAGAGAAATTCTCCGACCCGACGCGTAGACTCTCCCTATAAACGGCGAATAACGTTTTGCACGTTTCTTTGACTACCCCGATGCTCAATGAATCCGGCCCAGAGCGCTGGCTGCTGAGTTCTAGCGCATGATGGATTTCCTGGCGCACTTGGTCAAGGAGTTGTTGATCCGCAAAAATCCTTAATACCACCCAGAAAGTTGTAGTCGTCGCATTTACAATACCAGCAAAAAGGAACGACAAAGCCGACCGAGCTGTCATATCTATATCCATGCCATATTCCTTCTCGATCCGCGCTCTACCTTGGACAATCAACGACGCTGAATCCAAATGACCAGCTTCCAAATACTTGCGGAACGCCGCCGTTAACCTCTCTCGGCCCTTGTATGCTTTAGGAGCCGTGAGAGACGGCAAGATCCCGATAAGCAGTCCGCCAAGGCCGTGGTCGAATGCCCAGAAATCATGCTCCAAGTCTGGCTCCTTCGAAATAGGATTATTGGGCCCAAAGAGAAACTTTCCTGTGCCCACGGTAACCATATGTCGAATCCAGGCCAGAAGATCAACAGGCTTGGAGACATGACCAGTGCTGTTAGAGGCTTCAATTTCTTGAAGCAGCTGGAAACATAGCTCCTGTGCGGCTTCGCAGCTTAATGTATTCACATATTCACCAGGCCCAAAGGAAGAATATACCCAATCATGGATGTCGGCAAAGAACCCACGGGGCTCCCCCGGTTCCGGATCCAGATTCTGTCCGATTACGCGACACGTTTTCTCATCGAGTCCTAGAACCCGCTTGGTTATCTCCGGTAGCAGAGGCGACATTGATAATGTCTTGGTATTGCGCTGAACGCTAGCAGCCAATGAAGGCTCCGTAACAACATATATTCGAGATCCTGGGACGGGCAGAGTCAGAATCGGCTCATCAGAATGAGACAACCTAGGAGATATCAGTACAAAATCTCACAATCTATGCGACTATAGATTTGACTCTGACCCAAGACGCTTGATATAGCGGCCACCTTGCGTCGCCATGCCCAATAAATGACCTATGAGAGGAACCCACGGCTGAATTACCGTTGGTTCGCTTGGATGCAGCTGTTTTCCTGACGTATAGCGGAGCACAAACGCCAGTGTCAACAAGCCAATGGTGACGGCGCTCAAATTTATAGGCGACGCCTCAATATCAAACAGCGCCATCATCCATACCAGCGCTGAGCCGACGCTGCAATATGTCTTTTGCGAGATGAGAAGATGATGCCTCTAGTTACTTGTGAGGTAACGGCCAAAGAAGAGGAAATAAGGAGACTTCGACGTCTCTCCCAGAATATGAAATCCTATGGATATCACATATATTCCGCTTCAAATTCACAGTCAATGATGGTTTGAGAACGCAGCCGAGATGCAAGAAGGCGGGGTTGCGCGGTTGCATCCTCCAGGATCGTTACAGAATTGGTATACCTTGTCGGTCTACCATTGGCCAATGGCGCATTCTGACTACGCAGTGGCCAGACGGGACGCTTCCTAGCCAATGGATTTTATTGAGAGCTGACAGCGCTCATCTTTCCTGTTGATCCTCCTGTAATCGACAGGTGTACTGATGAATGACCCGGGGAGAAGGTCTGTATTCCAGAAATGAGGCTCAGTCGAAGGTTTTGCTCAAGCATCGCAGACTACCGCTAAATCGCCGAGGCTCAATGGCGCGTCTTCTTCTCTCCCAAGAGGTCGGATGTGGCGTCTGGGAAACATGTCACGCCATGCTGCCAATATTTTCTCTATACGTCGTATCCGCATTCAAGACGGGAATGACTGGTCATTGGGATAAGTGGGGATGGAAATTCGATTCGATGCGGCCTCGAAGTGGAGGTTAGGCAAGCCCTGAATAGTCATAGTATGGAAAGAAACCCTGGCCTCACCGAAATGTTTCTCCGCTTTCGCAACTTGTCTCTCTTAAACTCTTTAACTCTTGTTGTCTTATTCTCCCGCTTTAGCTCGTCTTCGGGTGGCGTGCCGGACGTTGACAGCTTCCCTCAAGTCTTGGAAAAGGCCAGATATCTCGGCATTCCGTGGACAAAGCGCTGCCTGTTGTTGGGGGGAGCATGCCGTTTAGAGGACGCCGGCTCTACCCGCGGGACCACTTGTATAAGCCCGCCCAGACCTATCAAGCCATGAAGAAGTCCGCCATCACGAGAGCATCTCTGCGGTGAGCGAAGAAAGAATACCGAACCTCGTCGTTTCGGAGGGCTGTGAAACCGCGAAAACGCCAATCCCATGGTTATTCCCGGCGACCCCCCTGGGACCGCAGACGAGAAACAAAGCTTGATTTAGGGCCGAAGCTCAAGATCACTCCACCCCTGGAGAAACTCGGAGCTGAGGCCATACAGCTCCGCCCCGGGGGCACGGCCAGGCGCCGGGACGGAGGCGGCGTCACGGAGAATCATGTGTGTTCAGGTTGATAAGCAATGGTCGTGTGGACACGTCGGATACTTCCAGATCCGGTGGTGTGAGAAGTTGTTCAACGGCTGCAAAGGGACGTCAGCTGCCCACGACATCATCTACGAGCCGGAAGAGTGCAGCGACTGCCTTCGTCGCAAGACGCTCCCCAAGCCTTTTACTGCTAAGTGAGCTATTACTGGAATGGTGGAAAGTTCTGGAAGACTTGCTTTCTCTTGAAATACGAAGTACTGGCTCTGAGTCGAGAGTCAATTTCAAAACCAAACGAGTTATCGTGACCATTGGGCCACACGGACGACTCTTGCGATTCAACTGGCGCCCGTTAGGAAAGAGAAAGGAAATCAGTTGAAAATGCCGGCATGAGAACGCCTTGCAACGAACGATTGTAAATATCAAAGTGACAAAAAAGGCATCTTGGAGCTAGGAAGCGGCAAATGTCTTTGCTTTATGCAATGTGTTTCTCCAGCCTCTTATCACTAAGATCATAGACGTGACTGTTGCCAATTTAAGCAACAGACAATTCATTTTATTCCAGATAACAGCCACTTCACAAATCAAGCTATCTGTCTAGTTTTCGTAGTCACAAAGCTGGGGCAGCCCTGAAGCATAATCAAGGCCCGTAGCCTCGGCTCGGAGAAATGGATGGCAAAGTATTACGGTACCACACGTGTTATTCAGTAGTACTTGCCAACAAAACTGGACTCTGGTGACCTGGCTATAGGCTTTTCCTTTTTCAGGGGTAAACTCGTGGGGGGTTATTTGCCACTGTCTTTGAATATTTAAGCCCAGAGATGGCCTCGTAGGAAAAGGATTTCATATGGAGATTGTGTGAGCCACCTGCAGCCAGTCCAAAAGGGGTATTTCGATGGGAACGAAGCAATCTGGACGTGGCAATCAAGGAGTGTAGAGGTAGTTTCGATGTATACTCGCCACATCGTATCTTGAGCGAGTCCCCTGCAGTTTCGATGTGTCAACGCTCCGTGATTGGGATTGGGATAACCAATGCTGGACCTCGCGTAATCTGTATTTTGCACAACATTGCGGGGATGATCTTTAGCCGATATCTTCGAATGACCATCTGCTACGTCCAAACCGGGCGATAAGAGAGGCCGCCACATACTCGATTCGCGCGGTCCTCGGTCGTTCGGAGTGGTGTTGTGGAGAGTGGCAGGCAACTAATGTTCAGTTATGCCTATTTCTGCAGTCAAAGGACAGCACGCCATGCCATGTATCAAACCGCATCGAGACACATTTCCGGTGGGCTTTGGTTGCCCCCCGACCAGTAGCCGTGTGTCCTTGGACGAGATCGACGAGGTTCGGAGATGCCATGGAATGGAGACGGGGCATGACAACGAGCAAGAGAGAGAACACTGCATCGATAGTTTGCCTCAGAGGAGCAAAGGGCGTCACATGGCCCTGTGTCGGATGCCAGTTGCGGCAATGGAGCTTCAAGGAGCTGCCGCATGAGCACCAGCACCAGTACCAGCACCAGCAGCCAGATGAATTGCTGCCGTCCGTTGCTCTAGATTGGACGACTGCTCTCTTGGTTGTCGCCACGGGGATGCTTGGAGGCGGATCATGAGAAGCGAGCCGGTGATTTTGGGCCGTATTCCTGGGGGATTTTTGGGGGTTGTCTTGTTTCCCAGCTGCATTTTTTTTAGCATTAAACGAACTTAGTCGTGTATGCAAGGCCCTGCTCGTTTCTGCCTCCCCGGGGGTTTCGTTGGTCGCATCTGCATTTGCGCAGTGTCAAGCCAGTGTCAGCAGTGGATGGGCCCATCTTAGCGACTGATGCCATCCTTAATCTTGCATCTTCCTATTCGATGGTGGCGAGACCTGGCGATGTCAGAGCACTCGTCAAACATCGCGACTGAAAAATACTTAAGAAGCAGCTTCCCCGTAGTCGTGGAGATGGCAGAGGAATCGTGGAGGCAGGAGCCGCCCGGAGGTTGTTGCAAGATGCCGCCGCCCAGCAGCGTCACTATCTCCTGACCATGCGGCCACTTTTTGTTTTATTTCCCGAAGCGCAAAAGTCGCCCCATCCCATGCGGCCGCCCCTTGCCTAACGGGGTAGCAATAAGCTCGATACCGAGGCGCCGACAGCGGGAAGCGGCCTGGCCAATCAGCGCCGGCGTGGCTCCTTTGGCCCTTTGGCAACCTTGCGAATCATACGATATTCGAGCAGCAATTTTTCTCTTCTTCCCACATGCATGGCATCCATGGCGCAGGGACCCCCTCAGGCGCCTCATGAGGGTCCCCCAAAAGCCCTTCGAGACCGCCCGGCGCCTCTGTGGCCTCTGTGGTCTCTGTGGCCGGTGGCAGCCCTTTTTTTTTTTTTTTTTTTTTTCCTCGCGGTCGCAGGGGCCCGGCATAGCTCCGCGAAGCAGAAATCAGGCCATTTTCATCATCGACACAGCGCTGGTAAAAGGCTATCCCTTCGAATTTTCTCGCTGCCCACCTGCAATTCGCCATTGCGCCTCGCTGATGCCCACGGCAGTGACAGGTCATGTCTGGCTCACAGACGCCTCCCCCCAACGCCTCGATCCCGGCTCTCGCCGACCGAAGCCTCGTGCGCGGGACGGAGACACGGCAGCAAGGTCGAGGATGAGACTTTGAGACTCATCTAGAGCAGAGCAGAGCATGAGCATGCAAGCGTTTTTCCCTCGCTTGCATGGCATGACTGGAGCCTGCGATCCACCACTGCCAACCGCGGGTCCTAGCGCCGGGGCCTTGTTCTGGATAGCACCGGTTCCTGGAGCGGCATCCTCGTTGTTCGTAGCTGTTGCTGTGCTGTGCTGTTGCTGTGCTGCGCTGTGCTGCGCCGTCTGGGACTGGACGCAGCGCCGTTCGCTCGGAATCGCAGCCGTCGCGGCGTTGCCCGACCTGTCACCCGGAGCTGGGCCTGCCTCTTTGCTAGCTGCCCTGGAGGGTTACTGTTACTGCTACTGGTGTAATGCTAATGCTGAAACTCCCGACCCCGTATATTACCTGTGATGCTCTGGCACCGCATGGGGGCCAGCTCTCGAGTCTTGCCATTACTATCGACACCAACCCATTGTACTGTATGGTACTAAGCCTGCCTGCATATCGCCAGGTACTTTCTCCGAGTACCTCTGCCCTGTACGACTATACTCCGTACGAGTCCATACCTTGCTAGTACCCCGTTGACTCTTTATCAACGGTACATCTGCATCTACATTCACATTCGCATTCGCATCTGCACACATTCTGCTCTGCTCTGTTTGCATTTGCATCATCCCGTACAAATATACACCATACAGTTGCACTCGTCTCGGACGGAGCTGTGCCCGTCTCTCCCGCCCCGAACCACTGTATCCTCCATCCTCCGTCCTCCATCCGTCCGCCAGGGCGCTACCACGACGCATTACTCTTGATAATCAAACGTGGTCTCCCTCAATCTCAATCTCAATCTCAATCTCTATTTTTTTTTTTCTCTCTCTCTCTCTCTCTTCCATTCCATCCTCAGCCCTCTTTCTTCACCTGTCAACCGCGCCCCTCCTCCTCCTCAAGTAGCCCAATTCCACCGAAACCGATCTGTGGATGCCATTGGCTTTTTGGCGCACACCTCCCTCACGCCACCTGTAGGGTCCCCTTTAATCCCAGCCAGGCCCTCAACCCTGTGTTTGCAGCCGTGCTGCGCTGGGCATGGAACGAGCCCTCGACTACTCTTCACAGCCTGTAGCCAACGGCCGCGTTCTCAACCTCCCTGAGCGACACATCAGCTCCTCAGCCTCAAAGGTCCAGCGCTCCTGGACATCACCCGCCATGGACATGTTCAACTTCACATCCGCAGCCTCGTCTTCGGCGGTCCCCTCATATGCCCCCGCCGGCAACGCCAGCGGCAGCGGCCTAGGCGGCGACATGAGCTTCTCTCAGATGCCGCAGTATCCCGCCCGCAACCCACTGCAGTCGGTCCTGTCTCAGGGCAAAGAACATGATGCCAAGCGGATAAAGGTCGAGTCGCCGCACTCGGCGCTCGACTCGATTGACTCCTGGCTCCAATTCGACGAAGAGGCCGACAAGTTTGGCAGCTTTGAGATTGACTTTTCAAAGCAGTACAACACGGCCAACCAGCCGAGGTGAGTCGGCCCCCCAGACTGCTATTCACAGTCGCTCTAACATGTGCGCATCAAGGCCTGCCACAAACATGACACCAGGATTGGGTAGCGGTCTCTACGCCAATCCCACCGCCCCTTTCAGGGAAGAAGACTTCCTCGATGATAGCGCCTTTGATCATTCTCTGTCCGAGGACGATGAGTTGTTTGACACCGTCAACCTGAATGACCAGCTGTCCAAGATTGAGACACTACCCTCGACCGAGCCCCAGTCCTCCCGAAGCCTCTACTCCACGCCGTCGATGGGCTGGGAGAAGCCCCAACAAGGCATTCAGCCCAGTGCCGTCACAATGTCTGACGAGATCCCAAGGCGCATGACCGCCGACTCCTGGGATCCGATTCCACAAGGCACCAACTACACGCTTACTCCGGATGAGCGCCGCCGACTTCTCGAAATCGCCATGGGCCCCAGCAGAATGTCGGCCTATGTATCCCCCAATCGATTCAACCTCGGATACGGATCTACGATGCAGCCCAGCCTAACTCAGGAGTTTGGCTTTGGCTTTGGCGCCCCGAAACAGGGGCTAAGTCCCCTGGGAATGTTCCAGAGAAACAACTCTACCGACACAACAGCATCTGGACTCTCTCAACAGAATCGAGATCTGAAACACAAACATCTCAAGAATGAGACGCCGCCCAAAACAGTGCCCGCGAAACGACCCAGCACGCTATCGGAAACCAGCAGCATCGGCAAAGAAAAGGCAAAGTCCGCCGACCGCATGGCGCACAACGATGTCGAGCGGAAATATCGCACCAATCTCAAGGACAAAATCACCGAGCTGCGCAATGCGGTGCCAGCGCTGCAGCAAGTCACCGAAAGCGAACAGGACAACGGACAGGGCAATGCCAAAGTGAGCAAGGTTAGTGGCAATATACCTCTACTTGAATACATTTGCGAGACGACTCTGCTAACTCACGTCTTAACAGGGCACCGTATTGACAAAAGCGACTGAATACATCCACCAACTAGAGCAGCGCAACAAAGACATCATGTCAGAACATAAGCAGCTCATGCGAAGACTTCAAGCATTCGAAGCACTCCTTAACAACTCGATGAGAATCGACATCATGCCCAGCCATAGCATGACGCTCTTTGACCCGAGAGGATTCTGTTGATTTACTGTATCAATATTTTCCATGTTTTACCTACCAATTTTCAATCAACGACTGCATGAGAAACAATTCTGACGGACTCTTGTTTTTCTTTTTGTTTTCCCTTTTAGTGAAAAGCATTTCAACGAGCTTCTTCCTACAGGCGGGTATTTTATGTTTATTCTTTTCTTCTTCTATTTCTTTCGCCACGATTACAGTTTTTTACTTTGGCATTCTGCCACCTACTTGACTCACTACTTTCCGGCGTCAGGGTGGACTTCTTTCTTCTTTATTTTCCTTTTACAAACATGGCATGAAAACCCAGAAAGGATATACTATAACTCGGCATGGGCGGTCTCTTGGGGATTTTATTCATAGGAAACGGAACGAGATGAAAGGGGGGAATCTTATCAAGGCAATGTGGGGTCGGTGAAAGAAGGAAATTTTACGGGAAGAGGGCAAAATCTTGAGACGAAAAATTCGGAGCGGGTAGCATTTTGTCAAAGGAAGCGAATTAAGAAGGCAAAAATTGAGCTTTATTCTTTATGACAGGGAATATAGATCTGGCGGGCCAATTGGTTGATAGAGAACGGGAACCCTTGTTTTTTCTTGGACTTTACAGACAGAAAGAGAGAAACGAAAATTGTTCGGGGGGGTTGAAAGAAAAAAGGAGCAATTTTCGAAGGGGATTGTCAATAGTACAATTGCACGCGAGGCGTCTTTTTGCCTTGCTTTGAACTCGGTACAACATCAACGTCCCACCTTTTTGTTTCTTTTTTCTTTTTTTCTTTTTTTTTTTTGGTCTTATTGTGAAACCATCTCTTGGGTCTGGGCTTTCATGGCCCTATGGTGAGAAAATAAACGGCAGTGATACCCCGGGCACATATGCAGGAGGGGTGATGCTACTGCATCCTCGCATCCGTTTTAATATGCGAGGTGCATTTTCTGTTTAATGCAGGTGAGAAGAGGGAGGGGGGAGGAGGGGGAGGAGGACCAGAATAAGCAGTCCTATGAGAAGGATGATATCTCCGCTTCTCTCTTTTACGTGGTATATACAGGTGGTGCTAGTAATACAAAAAGAGAGATGGCTTGCTAATCAATCTCGCAGCGCTTCGATATCCGCGATCTCCTTGACGGCTTCGGTGGTGAGTATGTAGGGCGCGTCCTCGTCCACACAGATGCTGTCCTCGATGCGAACGCCCATGCCCCTGAAATGAGCGGGCCAGCGCTCATCGTCGGGGACGTAGACGCCCGGCTCGACGGTAACGCAGTGGCCCCTCCGGAGAATCTCTCTCCTGCTGTACCCTGGGCAGTCATGCACGTCTAGGCCGATGTAGTGGCCTACGTGGTGGGGGAACAGCTGGTCGATGTTGCTCATGGTGAGGTTGGTGAAGCCGATGCTCTTGAGCTGGTCGACGAGGCCGCGGACGGTGACGCCGTGGATGTCCTCGAGGGACATGCGGGCGGACTCGCGGCACAGGGAGACGCTGGAGCGCTGGACCTTGAGCACGGCCTCGTAGAGGTCGCGCTGGGCGGCGGAGAACTTGCCGGAGGCAGGCCACGTCCGGGAGATGTCGGTGATGTAGGTGCCGTACTGGCCGCCGGCGTCGACGAGGATGAGCTCGTCGTTGCGGAAGATGTTGTTGTTGACCGTGTAGTGGATGCAGTTTGCGCGTTGGCCGCCTGCGACGACAGGAATGTAGGCTGGCCCGTCGCAGCCATTGATGGTGAACTCGTAGTCGAGAAAGGCGTGCAGGTCCTTCTCCTTGGCCCACGATCGCCGCATGGCATTGGTGATGGCACGGCCGGAGATTTGACCGGCCATGCGCATGTTGGTCACCTCGGCCGGGCTCTTGACGACTCGGAGCTTGTTCATGACGGGATAGAGCGGCGTCTTTGCAGGACCGCTGCCAGAGGCATTACCGGTGATGAAGCGCCATAGGGAGCTGTTGGTGGCCTTGGCCGACTCGACGTCGGTATAGATGAGCTTGGCTGACTCGAGCAGCTTGGGCAGCACAGAGTCGATTCTGTCCATGGACCACGCCTCGTCTGCATTCCACACGTCCTGAGCGGCCTGGACGCCGTTGCGATAGCCTGACCACTGCTCCTCCCTGGGGTTCTTGGCCTTGACAAACATGCGAAAGAGATAATCCCCCCACTTGGGGCCCGTCTTCTCGATGATGGCCACGGCGTCAGGCTCGTCCCATCCCGTCAGCCATAGGAAGTTGGTCTCCTGCCTGTAAGGATGGAAGACGGCACCCGACTTGTACACGAGGGGCGCAGCGTGCAGGACAGCGACGCCGCCCTCGGGCATGGCATCGGCGAGGGCGGCCCGACGATCAGCATATTCCTGAGCGCTGATGCCGGGCGTGACTGATTGTAGCTTTCCCAGTTAGCAGATGATTCAAAGTTGAGTAACTGAATAACAGTGATACGATTGAAGATGTCAGACTATCAAAGGGGAAGAAGACCCACCCTCGCCAGCCTTGAGGATGTGGGGATGTGTCTCATGGACGGGCTGTCCAAACTGGAGGCTGGCAGCTGATACCAGGGCGCTGTATCTGCGCCGAGGGGAGAAGATGTAAGACGGTCTTTGGTATTTGGAGGTGGCTTGAGAGATGCCGCGCTGTTGCTGGTGCTGGTGCAAGGGCAGCTTCCGAGGGGGCAGCCCGAGGCTCCGGAATGACGGCCGAGGGAGCCTCATTTTAAGGACTCGGTGTTTCTGAAGCAATTGAGATGAAATGTCTATGCAAATAGAAGGGGGGTCCACTGGATGTCTTGTTACCTACAATGATTTAAGCAACTTTTTTTTTCTCAATGGCTGGTGATCCACTTTTGGTTTTTGTAGTATTCGATGGTGTTTATGCCGGAGAAAGAGGATGAATTGGTTATCTATGAGCGGAAATGAAAAGAAGTGAAATTGTGTATATATGGAGTGAGAGAGAGAGAGAGAGGCAGATAATAGACAGAAACGGATGGATGTTGAGTCGAATGCTTGGTGTTGGTCGTGATATGTAACGCTGTGAGCGCTGTAAGTATGTAAGCAGATGGTGGCAAGCGAACATGCCTCGCAGCATAAATGATTAATGCAAGGGCGTTTGGTGCAAGTGCACAATCTGCACAGCATTTGCACAAGTGGCGGTACGTACCTCTCTCTGTTGGGCAATCTGGATGGATGTACCTCGAGAGTACCGCAATTAAATCATGTGCGCACCGCAGAGGCGCCCTAGCAGCGCGTCTTGCATCGTAGGCGCAGCTGTTGCTGGGCACTAACACCAAGCGGTGCTACTGCTGCTACTTTGCATGTACGGGGGCGCCTGTTTTCTGCGAGCAGCCCCGCCATTTCTTTCCCACTTTGGACCGCGACGTGTTTTTGGGCTCTAGCAACGGAAAAAAAAAAGAAAAAGAAAAATACAGCGCATATTGACCTGTCTGTAAGGGCCATTGTGTGAGGGCTGTATGCGAGGGATGCCAGTATAGAAATCTGCAGCTTGAATGAGTTTGACTTACGTCGTGTTGATGATACAATGGAGAAACAATCATGACGCACTTTTTGAAGTGAAATTGGATTGCATCGTGTTGTGTCTACTGTATTCGTACCTATCAAGGTTTTGTTGTTTTTTTCCCAGTCGTAGGTGGCCGCGCGCTAAGGTTGCTGGCAGGCCTGTTATGGGGTAGAGATGCATCCATCCATGTCGAGAATTGGGGGTTTCAATATGTTGTTTGTGTGATAACAGCCCGAGCTCCATCTAGCGAAACCCAATGGGCCATGGGGGTAAATAACATGGTCATGAGTGGAAATGAATGTAATGTAGAGCACCGGAAACACGGTAGTCAACTCTCTGTGAATTCCAGGCTCTCCATGCCATCATCATCATCCATCAACTTCAATTGTATTGCAAACTTGGAGCTACCCTATTGTTGTATTTTGATACCTTAGTACCTGTAGCTCCACTCACAATTTGATGCTGCTTTGCCCGTGAATTAGCGGTTGCTGGTGCGCCGGGCGGGCCCGTGCATGTTTTTGGCAGGGAGGCCCAACCGGGCATAGCGCTGTTGTGCCAAGCGCGAAGGCTCCATCAACACCTCAAAGGCACGCCTCAGCCAATTCTTCCCGCACACACGCAAAACCACAGTGATTTCTTTGTCCTCCCAAAAAGCCCTCGACAGGCTCGACAAGCTCTCCAGCCAGCCTGGTCTCGTCCCCCAAAGGCTTCCTGGACCTTCAATGTCCTCTTAGCATCCTTTACCTGCCCCCCCTTCTGCCGCCTCTTCCTCTTCCTCTGCCTCTGCCTCTGCCTCTGCCTCTGCCTCTGCCTCCGAGACGTGCCCCGTTCCCTGCACGTCGCGTGCTTCTCTCCTCCCCAGCCCCTCCTTGGTGCTCCCTGTCTTGTCTGGCTGCATCTCGACTTGCTCAGCACTTGCACCGGGGCATGCTGATCCCAGAGGCAACCGCTCTCGTACATGGCCACCGTCTCCGTGTCTCTGTCCGCATCTTCCAAGGCGCCGGTTCCCGCCATGGCCTCTAAGCGAGCGCCTCTCGCCAGCAATCCCAATGTCGCCAACTCACCTCTACGCGCACCTTCGATCCTGGCTGGCTACGCCAAGCCGAAGCGGTCCTTTGCCACGGCCCAGCGCGAAGAGCCCTACGGACAGCCTCCGCCGGTGAAGAAGCAGGCTCTCGAAAACGGCGCCCAGCGGGCCGTCCGATCGCCGACCAAGCCATTGACCCGCCCCCCGGCACACATTGTTGTCCCCCGCAACTCGAGCGCTGTTCCACGGCCCGTTGTGAGAGAACGAGCTGCCAGGACAGCCACTGCTCCGGCAACAAGAGCTGCACAGGATCAAGACACCGATAGGGAGGCGTGGAAGAAGCACCACCGGGCCAAGTTTCCCAAAATGGTCTTTTACTTTGAAAGCATTCCAGATGACATTCGGGCAAAGTTGACCAAAAGGGTTACATATCTCGGTGCTGTATGTCGCTCCCGCGTTGGATTTTCCCCAATCAAAGAATGCCGCTAATTTGTCATGACTGAAAATAGCGCCAAGAGCCCTTCTTCTCAATTGATGTTACCCATGTCATCACGACACGAGCCATTCCGCCTGAGAAACCAGAGGCTGGGGAAGCCGAAGCTGAGGTATCCGAGGAACAAGAGCCTGAGGAGCAGCCCCAAACCATCAACCCGTCTCTTCTTGACAGGAACACCGCCGCCAGGCGAAGATTGCTCTTTGATTTTCGCCAGGCGTCTTCGGTGCCTTCCCAGTTGGACGGTCTCGCGAGACGCAACAAGACAGTTCGCAACAATGACGTCCTCACCAAGGCTCGTGACATGGGGAAGAAGATCTGGTCTCTTGATAAGTTTCAGAGTATGCTTGCCGTTCTTCTCGAGTCAGAAACCCAAAACTATACCTCTCGATCTGCGAGCACCAGGAGTCACTACGGTGCCAAGGCCTCTCACGAGCCCAACCTGTTTCAACTTCTTCACAACGAACGTATCAATGGACCTTCCGATCGAGACCCAACTGCGATCAGCCGGGAGTTGACGTATTTCAAGGGTCCGTATGTCTATATTTGGGATATGGATGAAAAGCAAAAACCTATCATGGTCCGTGAATATGCCAAAGTTGCCAACAAAACCGACGGCGAATGGCCCCAGTTCCGTAGTGTTGGCAACGGACGCTGCCCTTTTGTCGAGGAGGTGGATGCCGCTGAAAAAGATTACCGAAAGGCACGAGAGCGGGAAAAGGCGCGCTTGGCCAAGAAGGAAGAATCTGTTCAGATTCTCAAAGCCCCCGAGGTCCCTCTCATGAAACCCGTGACTGGAAAGCGCACCTTGACAGAGATGGAAGATGCTCACAACCGATCTCGTGCCGGCGTGCCAGCGGAGACGTTCCAGCCAGTAAAGGTCACCTTCTCCAGGCCGGCGGCACCGGCTCAGAATGCCTTTACCAGCCGAGCTGAAGGAGGCCGTATGTTTGCAGGAGAGCCCGTGGCCTCTGGCATCCAGAACACCATTACGTCGGCAATCCGCTCCCAGATGATCTCGTCGACGTCTGGCATCAACGGCGCAAAGGCCGGAACCAGCAAGGAGGTTCATGGGCTGCAGAGGAAAGTTTTGCAGATGGCTCAGCCGACCTCGCACGATGCTAGCTCGCGCCGTCTTGCAGAGGTTCCTGCGGACGTCGCGTCTAGCCGATCGACAACGCTGACCCGAACCACGTCCAAGATTCTTCAGGGTCAGGAGGAAGATGGGCAAAAGGCGGAGAAGAAGGCACCTGCACAGCACCTGAAGAGCAAGCGAGACTTGAAGCCGGGCTACTGCGAGAACTGCCAGGACAAGTTCCGCGATTTTGATGAGGTAAGATTCCATTCAACTTGCAACACCCTTGCTTTACTACTTGACAAGGGCATTTCACTGACTTGAACAATAGCACATCTTGTCTCGCAAGCACCGCAAGTTTGCGGAAAATGATGAGAACTGGATCGAGCTGGACGCTCTTCTTACGCAGCTAAAGCGTCTACCAAAGTTCTCCGCTGCCACTTCTGATGATTCGGAGGGAGAGTGGTAACGATACGGCGTTATTCTTCTTGGGTTGATCTCGTCCAACTAGAGACTTTATGGGTTATGGTGCCGCGCATTTGGATCGCATTCTTTTTTTCCGATTTGCGTTGGCTATCGCATTCATTATGCTACTTCTCGACACTTTGCAAAAATCTTCGGTCACCACAACCATCAACTTACATCCTGGGACCCCGGTCAAGGGAAACCGAGTGCCAGGCTTTGAATTTTCTTTTGCATCTCAATCAGATTTGCGCGGCATAGCGCAGAAGACACCTTTGTCAATACGTCTCTGATTCGAGCTATACCCTTTTTTGGTCTTTTTCTTGTTCTTTCTTTCAGGGTTCTTTACTTATCTCTCACTCGGCTATAACGAAACAGCACGTGGATTTTGTTTGGTACCACTGCCGGCACGGTTTGGCATTTTGAACCCGCATACATAGCAGGAGGCGTTATTTACAAGCTCGGCTCTTTTTTTTGCTGCCGTTTCACAGATGGATGGACTTTTTGGTGGCAGAGAGGATTTTTGGCAAGGGAGAAGCTGAATGTGGTCTGGATTGTCTGATAGGGGATACTGGGATGCTCTGCGTGCTGACGCAGAATCGGCCTTAATGAAGGGACTTGGCTGGGACGACGTGGCGGGCCCATGGGGGGGTCGAGAAGAGGAAGAGGGGATGCGATGTGATGCTTTCTGGAGCAAGAAGTTTGATGGGAGATTGATGGGACTGGTCATGTTAAAAGAAAAAATTATGTATATTGTAGCTGGCATGTTACAATTCACGAAAGTGTATAAGTAAAGGCAGGTCCGGTGGCGTCTATTTGGTGCACGGAACGGACAGGTATTTATGACATGAGATAGCATTTTGATGATAGATATATGTAGCGGTAACAGCAGAACTGGATAGGAATTAATTCTAGGTGTTGAATGAAGCGTGTTGCGTACTTGTTGTCTTGGTGATGAGTGAGCTTGTGGTGTTGATTATATCGCACTGTATATGCACTGTACAAGGGCGGCCTACTCCGTACCTACGGAGTACAGAGGGGTCGATATGCACTCTGGTTGTTGCCTCACTCTTTGACATGTCATCCGCTCTTTTCACTTCCCGACCTGCCATCTCAATTCTCTTCTTCAAATATCTGACGTCTCTTCAATTTCTGATATATATCAGATAATTCAGATCAACTTATCATCAAAATACAAGATCAACGCAGCCATGGATCCCGACATCCCCTCTCCGTCCGACTCGCCTTTGCCGGACACAGACTCGGAGATGAACAACAGAGCCAGCGGCACCGCCTCACCCGAGATCCCGCTGACGCTCAGCGCATCAGTGATGCTGGCGGATCTGCCAAGAGATGCGACGGCAGCGCTGGCCAGCGCTGGAGGGTTCCCACCGCAGCTCAAGGTCGTGGTCAAGTTCAAGGCCGTGGGGTCGGCGCCGGCGCTGCAGCAGGACGTGTGCAAGATCTCGGCGAGCCGCAAGTTCGAGGAGGTGGTGCGCTATCTACGGCGCAAGCTGCGGTGCCGCGAGACAGACAGCGTGTTTCTGTATGTGAATAGCGCGTTTGCGCCGTCGCTGGACGAGGTGGTGGGCAATTTGCACCAGGTGAGTTCTTTTTCACGAGGTAAATGGCATTCGCGTAGCTGGGCGAGGCTGACGGGATGAACAATGTGCAGTGTTTCAAGAATGCTCATGATCAGCTTGTTGTGGCCTATTCTATCACTCCGGCGTTTGGATGAAACTGGTCAACATGAGAACCGAGACAACCAAACGCGGCGAGATTCTTCTATATCATCCATCCAGGTTTCCAACTCCTCCCCAGGAAATATCATTACAGCGCCTCCCCTCTTGCTCATGCTTAAACAATGAAGTACATAATCTCTATAGACAGGCCGGGACATTATATCATGCCGGGACGAAAATCCAGTAAAGCAAACAACGCTACCGCTCCATGTTCTCATAACCAATTTGTCTTCCCCCTCTTTTATAGGTCTTTGGCGGCCTTGGCAAACGTCTCAAACTCTTCGGCAGGCATTGGATAGGTGTGCTCTGGAGCAGGGAACTGCTTGCTCTTGACCTCGTCACGATAGGCCACAACAGCCTTGGCTGACTCGCTCCAGATGTCGCCAAATTTCTTGACAAACTTGGGCATGAATCTTCCGGGAGGGAAGTTGCCCGTCAAGTCGATCTGGACAAGCACCTGGCCTGAGCAGCCGCTGCCAGCGCCGATGCCGATGGTGGGAATGGATAGCTTTTGAGTAACCAGGGCAGCAACCTCGGCGGGGACGGCCTCCAGAACGACGGCAAAGGCGCCAGCTTCCTGCACGGCGAGGGCATCCTCCAAGACTCTCATGGCGCCAGCAGAGGTTTTGCCCTGGACGCGGAACCCCCCAAGAGCGTTCTGGCGCTGAGGAGTGAGGCCAATGTGGGCAAGGACCGGGATGCCGGCGGTGGTGATTTTGCGGATGGTTGGGGCAAACTCCTTGCCGCCCTCGAGCTTGACGCTCTGTGCTTTGCCATGCTTGACGAAGCGGATGGCTGTGGCTAGGGCTTGTTCGGGAGAGATTTCATATGAGCCCATGGGAAGGTCTCCAACCTGCAATGAATTGTTAGCCGCCGTCACATCTTGTCTCGTGTGCCGCCTGGACATGTTCTAAGAGACTACTTGCAGTAAAGGCACTCTTGGCCGCCCGTGCTACTGATCGGCAGTGAAGCAGCATGTCTTCGACCTCTACTTCGTTTGTGTCTTCCATGCCCAGCGCCACCATGGCCAGGCTGTCGCCCACCAGGATGATGTCCATGCCGTTTTGGTCAGCAACGTAGGCGCTGGGGAAGTCGTGAGCAGTGATCATGGCAATGGGCTCTCCCTTTTGATAGAGCGACTTGATGGTGCTCATGGTGACCTTTTTGCGAGCAGGCCCGGACTGAGAGCCCATGGGAGAGTGAGAGCTGTATCTCTTTTGGTGACATGGCGAGGCATGTGAGACGGTGACGGTGGGGACATAAGACACGATGGAGCGTGTTGATGAAGACAAGGAAGATGATGAAGGTGCAGTGAAGGCAGCAGCAGTATATCTGAGGCCGTTGTTGAGTCGCGTGCTGCTGCGTGTCAGTACCGCACACGATCTGGCCGAGGCTCCGATCGGGAACATTTTTTTTTTCCCAACTCGGAAATTATTTGGTTGTTACGATGCAGGAGGTCTCTTGCAGGTACTCTGCAGTGCAGATCTATATGCGAGAGGTACTAGTGGGGTACCTTGAGGTGAGATGTGGGAACAGGGGAGAGGCAGGGCAAGTTGGGAGGATGGAGGGGGAAATGCGGGAGAGAGAAAAGAAGGAAATAGACTATTTGAGAAGAGGAGAGATGATGCTAGTGATTCATGTAAATGAAACGAAGCAAAAGAAAAAGCCAGAGGTGGCGGACGAGGCGCTTTTTTTAATAGTTGAAGAAGAGGCATGCTGGTTTTTACGATGTAGAATTGAGTATCTTGGAGGGACACAAGGCCGGGCACTTCCATGTCAGCATTGGATCGGTTGGGACGAGTGTACGAGTACGGCAGGAGTAAGAGTACGAGGTACTGTGCCTTGGCTTGGCCGGTTTGGTTTTGGTACTGCTACATGGTCGTGCAACCAACTTGCTTCGGCGATTCCAGAAGAGCTGTAATTTATTACTGTTACTGTTATTGTTTTTCTTGGTCGGGTGGTTTGGTATTACACAAGATAAGCATTGTTTGTTGCGGGTTTCTTCTTCCTTTTGAAGGTGTCACAAGAGACCGTTGCCCCAGGTACTGTACTCTGTACTCCGTGCTCTGGTCGCCAATTACAGGCTGTTTTCGGGTATTGGCAGCACTGTGTGAGGATGCCGTTACGGCTTAATGGAACCGAGGCACGAGGCACGGACCTGATGCGGATTCGCCGTTGCCGCGGGCTGCAGCCTTATGAGACGCCGGAGTATGCAATAATCATGATGACGATGATGGTGATGATGATTGTGAGATGAGAAAGGGGAAAATGCACAGCCTTGCGTTGGGTTTCTGGAGTACACATGGATTGTGAGAGTAAACATGATTCAGCTTGTATCGACGATTAATTCGTTTTGCCGTCGGGTGGCTTACATGAATGTGGCTGTAGTTTCTATTGTGTACCTACTAGGTATGTATGAATAAGGCTGTGTGTGGCTGGACTGACGTCGTCCGCCTGGGTTCATTATGACGGCGAATGAATCTGCGCATCAGCTGGGAGTGGCCTGTATGTACGAGCTTTGTCTATGATGATTCTAATTGCGCGGCTGTTGACTACGGGTTTCCATTGCCAAGTTGCAGCTGAAAGAGGTGTGATGTACACATACGGGCTGGTATATATTGTATTGACCCAATTGTGCGAATGCGATTGATGGTCTTACTGTTTTGGGTACCTGATGCACCTTTGTAAGTCGATCTGTGTAAGAGGCCCATACCTACCATTATAGCACCCAGCGCTCTGTGTTATTGAGCCTGCGCCTTACTCAGAAAGATGAAACCTTGATCCTTACCCCCTTCGGCTGACATCTCGCCTCCAATACAAATACAAAATACCAAAATGGCCAAAGCCGTTCTCAGTAGGAAATAGCGCAAAAGTATGAAGCCCCCCCAAATGCTGAGCCCGGGACATGCCGTCACATCAATCGAGCGCATGCAATCGCCGTCGAATGGGTGCAGGTGCTGTAACGCCGGCGCCTTTCCGCTAAATCCTCGGCGCCCTTCAGCGCTGCCGCCCGCTACAAGGCCGGAATTGTTAGCGGTTAGCCAGCGCCCTCCTCGTGACTCTTCCAGCGGGGGAGGGGAGGGGCTGGTTAGGTTGGGTTGGGTCTTTGGTGGAGGCACTCAGTGACATGACGGTTCCAACGGCCACTCGTCCAGGTCCAACTCAAACCTGCTTTTTGCTTCGCTGCATCGCATCACCAGAAACTTCGGCCCAACCATCGACTGACTGACTCACTGCTGCTTTTCCTCGCTGCCAAATCACTCGCCCATCTCCCGTTTTTTCTTTCACTTCTTTATTCTTCCTCTCCCTCCCTCTCTCTCTTGCTGTTCTGTATCCGTCTTCGCTCTCCCGTTGTTCCGAGTCCGCGACAGCTCCGAACCAAACATCCACGATCGATCCCCCGGCTGCAAGCATTATAGCCACGAGAGACGCTACTGCAGTGACGACGCACTCTGGCAGACGCCGGGAGCCACACACCTCGAGAGGCTCAGACATACTCAGCATCTCATCTCCACATCTAGCTTTGAATTGCCCTTCCGGGCCCCAGAGTCCCTTGACAGTTGCCCATCATGAGCAGCCCACGCCGTCGAATTGAGACTGATGTAAGTCGCGAGTCTACAACACTTCCACCAGTCTGGAGGCAAACGACACAGAGCTAATCAATTGTCTTTTGTTTTGGGACGTATAGGTCATGAAGTAAGTGCTGTGGAAATGGAACGAGAAACATGATCAGTGTTTGGCTAACAACCTTGCAGGATGTACGAACCGCCACTCCCAACAACGCCCGCCCTGGCCCGACTAACACGACCGTGATTTAGGTTGATGAGTGACTATGAAGTGACACTAGTGAACGACAACAGTAAGCAACACTTTCATATATACCATCTACTCAAAGCCAAAGGCTGCTGACCGACTGACCCGCTACAGTGTAAGCATCGTCACCAGCCACGCTCTTACTCTCTTCCGTCCTCGCACCGATCGATTCCATAACATCAACGTTAAATCATTGACAATCCGCTTTACTGCAGGCAAGAGTTCTTTGTCCGATTCAAGGGCCCCGCAGAGAGTAAGTCGGCAAACAGAGAGGGGAATGGCTGCGGCAAGTTTGTGTCACGACAGCTAACACGCCTTGGCAGCTCCGTTCGAGGGAGGTCTTTGGAAAGTACATGTCGAACTTCCCGACACGTACCCGTATAAGTCGCCTAGTATTGGCTTCGTGAACCGAATTTTCCACCCAAACATCGATGAGCTGTGAGTCTACACGGGAAGCGAGAGCGGCCGATTGCTGTGCATGGTTGTGCTAAGAGTGGCGAATCGGAAAATAGGTCTGGCTCTGTGTGTCTGGATGTCATCAACCAGACATGGTCACCCATGTTCGATATGATCAACATCTTCGAGGTCTTCCTGCCGCAGCTTCTTCGATACCCCAACCCGACGGATCCCCTCAACGGCGAAGCGGCTGCTCTGTTGATCAGGGAGCCCAAGAGCTACGACGCAAAAGTCAAAGGTGCGCAATATTTTGCAGAGTCGAGCGGAAGCTGGGAAATGGGAGGACACAAGGATAAAAAAGGCTGACAGGGTGGCTCAACAGAGTACGTCCAGAAATACGCTAACAAGGATGTTGTGGACGAGGCTGGTGCCGAGAGTGAGGACGAGGACGACATGTCCTCGGTGGCGAGCTTCGACGACGACGACGAGGAGCCGGCTGGCCAGATGGACGACGTATAGGGATGGTGTTGTTTCATTTTCATTTGGTCAAGGCAGACAACATCTGCCACAGCGCTCGATTTGAAACAAAACTACTGCCATCCAAGTCACAAACAGCGGAGTCACAATGGGATTAATTCGTCGACAGGCCAGCCACAGCAACGGGAGTTTTTATTTATTTATTTTATTTTTCAGCCCTCGTCATAAACCAAGATGGAAGGAATCGCACCAGCTGCCCCTTTTCTACCCCTTTTCAACTTTTGTCTTGTCGGTATCTCTCTTGCTTGCCTCTGAGATGTGGGAGGAGAGACGACTTCGTTTGGGTCACATGTGCTCTGGAGTTTGGTACCTAGTTGTTTGAATGGACGACAGCGTGGAGGAGGAAGCTCAGGTAATGAGTTGGGATTGGGTTACAGTATGTTGAATAGGGCGTCCGTTAGAATGCGGAATGCGAGTAGTTTTCAATGCATCTCGATTTAGTCAAAGAAATGGTGGCGATGCGCCAGCTTCGTTCAATCAAGTCTAACAAAGGGGTATCATGTCTGTACTAAATAGTGCCATAATGTAAATCCATCTCTTTCTCGCTTGGGAATCGTTTCTCTTTGATAAATGCCAAATCTATGCGCCATTGAAACCACATAAAACAGAATGAGGAAGAGATGCCGTCGCTCACAGCATTTAATCAGAATCATACTGCACCAGTCCTCCGCTGACCGGCATCGCAGCCTTCGTTTCGGGCCCATCGTCTGATTCGCCGTCAGCCCGCTTCCTCTTCCTGACGATGCCTAGAAACGGTCTACTGTTGGCCGCCTTGTCGTTGGGCTGAATGAGAAAGGGGTCCTGCGCTGCTCGCGTGTTGGAAATGACGTCTGCGACAAACGTCTCTTTTCTCCTCGACGCTTCCTTCTCAGCCTTGAGCCTAGTGTCCTTCATGGCCAAGGACGACGATGGTCTCTGTTGTGTTTTGACTCTTGAACTCGTCGTCGTCGTTGTTGATGCAAATAAAGGCTTAGAGAGCGCCCTGTCCTCCTCACCCTCGCCATCCGGCCTGGATCCAAAGTCCACCAACGCAGCTCTCTTAGCATCCTCCTCCCTCTCCGGCAACAGTTCCATCCCCAGCCCCATCCTCTCCTTCAAATCCTCCGTCGCGGCGGCCGTCTTCTCCCTCTCCTTGCGACCCACGCGAAACGCCCTTCTCAGCCTCTGATTCCGCCCATACGGATCGTCCCAGTGCCGTCTCGACAGGTCCTCCAAGTCGTCGAGCCGCTCCGCCGCCATCTCAAGCTGCTTCCTGTCCGCAATCGTCTTCTCCAGGCTCGCAAACGCATTCTTCCTCAACTCCTCCCTCTCGCTCTCCGTCAGAATAGCTCCCCCTTCGTCCCCAGCATCGCCGGTATCCCGCTTCGTGGCCCCCTCGACAACAACATACGCCGTGTTCTTCGGATCGGTGCGCATCTCGATCCACCCGCCGCACTCGACATGGCGGAACCGGAAACTCCATATCGGCGTGGACAAGTAATTGCCCACGCGCTTCTTCTCGGCGTTGAAGCGCACGCCCTGGCCGACGATGGTGGGCTTGGGGCAGTGCGCGCACCAGATGGGGAAGGGCATTTCGAAGCGCACGGTGAGGATGCCGTGGGAGGCGAGCTTGGAGGCGCGGTTGCCGAGGGCATGTTTCTTGTTGAGCTTGTTGCCGGAGGTGGTGCCTTCGAGGTCGGGAGGGACGTAGCGTCCCATGTTGAAGCCCTGCATGGTGGGCGGATTGTGTGGCGAGGAGATGGCGATTTATGTGGTTGTTTGTTTGTTGTTGTTTCTCTGTTTTGTGAGGTTGAAGGTTGGAGAGTTGGCGATGGTACGTCACCAAGTAGACAAAGGACCCTGGAAATGGGAGTGGGGCACGCCACTCCGCGTAAACGATCAATGCTCTCCGTGTAAGTGCCACGGAATTGGCTTATACTTTCATCATTTCACACAATTCATAACATCCATGCTCTCTATCTTCTGTTTTCTATCTTCTGTTTTCTAAAGTCTAACCACCCAGTGTCCAACTCGGCGGCCTATCCTTCAGCGCCGTCCCCCAGCTCGACTCCTTTGCTCCAAGCACCAGCTCCAGCGTCCATCCCTCTGTGAAAAACTCATGTCCGATCCACGACTTCGTCCACGGCTTACCATTCACCTTTGCGCTCTGCACATAAATATTCCTATACGAGGCATCGAACCCGATATTCCTCACAGTAGCCGTCTTGCCTGTCACGGGGTGCTTGATGCTAATCTCCTCGACAAAAGGCGGCGAGATCAAGTACACGTTTTGTCCCGCCACGGGGAACAGACCCATGACGGAGAAGACGAGGAACGCGCCCATGGCACCGGAGTCGTCATTGCCGGGGAGGCCGCCGGGGGACGAGTTAAAATCCGAGGGGACGTACTGGTGGATTCGCTCCGTCGAGAGGGCGGGCCGGCCTGTGTAGTGGTAGAGGAAGACGGTGAAGAAGACGGGCTCGTTGGAGATGTCTGCCAGGCCCGAGGTGTGGAAGAAATCAAGGCGCGAGATCATGGCGTCATCGCCACCGAGGAGGGAAATGAGAGAAGACACGGAATGGGGGACGTAGCTTGATAAAGGGTTAGCTTCAGCATTGCTTCTTCTTCTCCTTGAGACGACTTACAAGAGATATTGCCAGATGCTGGCTTCAAATGTCTCACTCGGATTAGTCGTCAGCGAACAAAAGTCCGCAAGCGCAGAACACGCGATTGGGTCCTGGAAGCCCCAGGTCCCGTTCTGGTATTTGGGCTGGAAGAAACCCTTGAACCCGGTGTCGGTCCCGTTGATCAAAGACGTTTGGTCGGCTTTCCACAGATTCTTCCAGTTCATGGCCCGCTTCTGGTACTTGATCCGCAAATCACTCCTACCCAGCCCGCCAGCAAGCTCCGAAATGCAATAGTCGTCGTAGGCATACTCAAGCGTGCGGGAAATACTTCGAGAGTTGGTTCCAAAGCCGTACGGATCAAAGTCCAGATAGGGGATGTAGTTGAGATTCTTCCAGCTGTGGAGGCCACCCCGGCCGTGATACGACCACTCCAGTGGCTCGTTCTCAGCGTCCGCCAAGACGGCGTCCAGGGCAAGTTCCCAGTCAATGGTTGAACTGAGATTCTTGGCAAACGCATCCGCAATGACAACGTCGGCGTTGGAGCCTCCTTGGGTCCAGCCCTTGCAGAGCGACATTCGGCAGTCGGGCATCCATCCCTCGTGCTTGTATATGTCTAGTAGAGCTTCCACCATCTGCGTCTGAGCGTGGGGGTCAAGAATGGTCAACAGAGGGTGCTGGACACGAAAGCTATCCCAGATGCTATATGTAGGTATTCCACGATTAGTTCGCTGGATGAACAAGGCAAACAAACCAGGAGGACAATTCTCTTACCAGTAAAAGGAGTCGAAGTAAGGCTTATCGCTACGCCAGAGCGGGTTCTCGCCCGTATAATTCTGCGGTGAAATCATGTTGCGGTACACGCCGCTCCAGAAGCTGGTCAAAAGATCGTCCGTTGCACCGCCGCTCTTGATGGAAATGGGACTCAGCTTCTCCGTCCAAGCTTTGTGCGCATTGTCAACAAGCCGGTCGAAGTCCTTCAACGGGCTCGGGATCTCGCTATCTGCGTTTCGGCATGCCTGAGCGCTGCTCATGTAGCTGATACCCATCCGGACCGTCACGACGCCATCGCTCGGTGGGTTCAAGCGTACGAAGCCGCCGCCTTCTAGGAAGAACAAGTTGAAGCCTCGCGTGAGGAAGACCTGTTTAGGCTCGGTGCCCGCGCGGTTGTTGACCCAGACGCCCGTCTCGTGTATACTTGACCCGTAGAAATCGACGCAAAAGTGCATCACGTACGACCCGGCGCCGAAGCTGGGCAGAAACGTGCCGTTACCCGTCATGCGGCCCGACTTTCCATCGACCTGAACCGAGGCGTTCTGTCGGCTCTGCCACAGATCCGTCAAATCTAGGAGGACCAGCGGGTGTTTGGTGCTCTTGGGGAACGTGAAGCGATACAGAGCCGCATGTTGCGAAACTGTCATGTCAGCTCCGATGCCAGATTCCAGCTGGAGTCCAAAGTGCCCCGGCTGGGCCACCAGCGAGCTATTGACATAAGGGAGCTTCCGGTCGCCAATCCGAAACTTGCAGTTGTTGAGGTCGTCGTCGGGACAGACCTGCGGGAACAGCGGAAAGTTGCCCAAGCTGGGATTGCCGCCGGTGCCGGAGTCATGGACTGATGAAAAGCCTACGATATTCGGTCCTCCAATTCCGAACCCCCCCGTATTCTGTCCATCTACATCGGCGGATGCCTTGGCAAGACCGTAGGGAAGCGTCGCTCCGGCAAAGACGTTGCCGCCGTTGTCGGTTCCGATCAGCGGGTTGATGTAGGAGAAGCCGTTGCCCGACTTCTGGGTTGCAGGTGATGCGGCAATCCCAGGAACAGAGCCGAGCAAGGCGAGCGCGAGGAGCTCGACACTCGCACGCATCTTGACTAGAAGGAGCCAATTGGATACATCAATATGACAGAGAGGAGATGGGAGAGAGGGAGAAGGAGAGACAACCCAGAGACACCCGTTGCTATTTGTACGACTCATCCCGGCCGAGACGCGGGGAGGCATGGCCGAGACCCAATCGCCAACGCAGTTTCCCAGAGACACAGCACAAAAAGTCCCTGCAATTCAGGCGTGGCGACGTCACCGATCTGCATGAAGAGCCTTGGAATGCATGTGCCCCTTGCTGGTTGGTAAAAGGCACATGTCCAACTCTCTGAATGCATTCTGCCGACGGCTTGAACTCTGCAACGATAAGAGCCCCCACCCGATGCGGACAAATGTGATGATGATTACGATTAGGCCATGGAGTTTTCGTGACCCCCGCCTTGGGCGACTGGGAATTCAGTTGCCTATTGTGGAAAAACGTTGTGTTGGAGAGGGGATGAAGACCGGGGACCGGGGTTGTTGGTTGTATGTATGGGTTCATGGCTTGACAAAAAAGCAATCATTGATAGAAATCAACCATGACCATTGCGAGCTGTCATCCAAACTATTGCGTCGTCATTATTCATGTATGTTATCGTTGAATCCAGAACAGAAGAATCTAGAGCACCGCGGCTCTCCATGCGAGCCCATACATGACAACCTAGATTTCATGATTCTATAACCACAAGTCTTGATATAACCGCCCCAAAAAGAATCATCGTGTTTTCGTCAAGATGGAGAGAAGAGAGAGGAAGAAATCCAACATAGAGGCGTCCACAGATATGGATATGTTCATCTGCCCTCTCAGTCAAATCAGGGCATCCCAAACTCGCCCTCTTCATCCGGCTTGCCGATAACAGGCTCCAGCAGAATCGGCAGATATTCGGCCGCATCTCTGCCAAAGGCAAAGTCTCCCGGCTTAATCTTGTACATTTCCGCCTCGTCTTCCGCTTCGGGGTTGATGGTGACGATGCGCGCGCCTCGCTTTCTCGCCTTGTCGATGTAACTGGCAGCAGGATGCACCTGAGCAGAGGTTCCAATGACGAACATGAGGTCCTTTTGCGGCAAGAGAGCCATGGTTAGCCGCTATCACGAGATGAAATAGAGTAAGGCGTGTAGTGAACATGGCACATACTATTGGCTCGGCACGCATCCATGCCGATATATCCATCATCATACTCGCATCCAAATCCTCTCCAAACCACACAACCCCGGGGCGCTGAATTCCTTTTTTGCATTGAGGACACTTGGGAATTTCATCTTCCCCGATGTGCTTCACTCTATGATACGGGTCCAGGAGCGGAAGCGGCTCGCCATTGGGCATATCTACAGAGGCGGGAGCGAGCGCGGCACAAAAGGGATCGTCAAAGTTTCCTTTTTGTATCCAGTCGCAGCTCTCGTTTGAACACTTGATATCATAGAGGGAGCCGTGGAGGCACTTGAGTTGTGAAGAAGGGTGTTCAGCTCGCTGTGAGAGGTCTAAGAGGTTGAGAGACGAACCTTGGTCAGCCAATGAGAACAACAGAAAGCTGGCCGTCTTCAATCCTCCAACACGCGCAAACTTGAAGCCAGTTTCAACCACTTACTGTCGACATTCTGTGTCAAGCACAAAAAGTCCATGTTCCGCCTGGCCAGCGCGGCCAAGGCTCTGTGCCCCATGTTTGGCTCTGCCTTGAGGGCAAGATGTCTCCGATATGAATAAAACAGCCAGACTATACCAGCGTCCATCTTGAAGGCTCGCACCGTCGCCAGCTGTGTGGCATCGTAGTTTCGCCAAAAGCCTCCGGCACCACGGAAGGTTGGTAGACCGCTTGAAGCCGACAGCCCTGCGCCACAAAGGGCGAGGATACGGCGGCTAGACCGCAGCACTTGGTGAAAGGCCTCGATATCGTTGTGAGGCGCCATGGGGTGGTTCGTTGTGGTCGTTTCTGCGCCGACGCTCGTGTCTGCCGACGTGGAACCCATTGATTTTATGGCCGCCAGGAGCTCTTTTTCTGTCACCATTGAAGCGGGAAATCGAAATCTCTGACGGGAAGAAACAGTCGTCGAAAAGAATTCACGAGCGACGGAGGAATGGCCCAGGGAAAAGGGCGACGGAGAGCGACGAAACAAGGCGCGAGAGAGGGGACACAAAGGAGGGGAAATGCTCAGCCAGACGCAGAAGCACAGCAGAAACAAGCTGCTGCAGTGTAAGGCAACAGGCCAGAAATAGTTCTTGGTCGCGTCGAGCTCGGTCCGCGCACCAGCAGCAAAGCGTTGCAGAAGCTGGAGGATAAATTTAAAAAAAAAAAAAAAAAAAAAAAAGGAACGAGAAGAAAAGGCTGCGAGGCTGGATTGAGGCTTGACGGACGTGAAAACGAGGGTCGTTGGGCATGTACGAGTAGGTAGAAAGAGGCAAAACGGACAGAGGAATTGGAGTTGGAATTGGAAAAGACGCGGCGTCGGAAAAAAGTGCAATGCGCGAGTCCAGCTTTATCTAACCTGCAGCACCCGCGACCTGATGGAAACAGTCTCGTTTGTACATACGAGTAGGTCGAAGCCTGTTCCTGCTACGTCATGCTCTTGATTTGATCAACTCTGGACCGGGATTGTCACATCGTTTTTTGGAGACGTCGACGTGGTTGGTGATTGGCTACAAGGGGGCTCCGTAGCTGCGGCTCGACTAACGGACGATGCGCCGGCAAGATTGCACGGCAGTAATTCGAGCAATGATATCAAGTGGCATGATCTACATGAGCCGCAATTGGCAGACATTGTGCTGTCGAATCGGCACTTGCTCTTTTATTGTGTATCTTCTCAAAACACTTGGGTATGAATATTGAAAACAACTAACCACGGATATGGGTCCGGCTCCAGCCAGCCATTTTCTATATTTAGCAGCGATGGAGAGGTTCCTTATACCCGGTAACTACGGCAAACTTTAAAAGAAGGTGGCTTTCGACATCATCAGATCTGAGAGGAATATAACTGTGGCAGTATAAAGGAAGAGGGCAATCGACACAAAATTATTCATTAGGATATGTAGTGATGACGCGAGAGAATAGTAGAGGAATATGGCCATAGCAGCAGATACTAGAATGAAGCATCGATGGTAGCCGAAACCACAGTAAAATATTAATGAAAGCAGATAATAGCGATAGTAGCAGATGCTTCAAGATCTGGGTACATATCCATTAGTACCTACCCACTGGACGAGTAAATACATAAAAGGCCCCCCTCCATATCATATTCATACACATTAACCTCACACAGCCACTAGGGTGTGATGGGGAAAGAAGTATGTATCCTAGTGTAATTGGTCAAGGAATAGCCTTCGTCTGGGAGAGGGAAATTAGGTAGATGATACACCAACTTGGGGTGCTGGCTAATACGCTTCATACGTACCAGTCGGTATTTGTATACGACATTGCGACGTGCGGGAGGGGGAAGCAAGAGAATGGAAAGGGGAATAGCAGGGTGTGAGAGTAAGAAAGTGTAAGAGTGAGAGACGAAGAAGGTAATAGAGCCGCGGTTACTTTGATGCGTAGCGGAAAAAAGACGGCGAGGTGCTTCGACAATTTGCCTCGAGTCTGTTCCCTCTCCCCGTCATGGTGGGACATGTGCTGTGGCGCTGCCATAGGTCCCCTCGCTCTATCGGAACTATACCAAGAGCTGTGATAAAGCATGCCTCATCGAGTGTGAGATAAAACTCCGGTTTCATCTAGAGTCCGCCAAGTATCTGAGCATGTACCAAAGGGGGGGGGGGGGGGGGGTTGCTACTCTGGCTCTAAAAGACGAGCAGTGGACGTTGATATTGAGGTTGAGTTAACGAACAATCCAAGCAGGCAGGATGAACTGGACGGCGACGGAAGCGGAGATGCCTAACCGAACGAAAGAAAAAGAGGTCAGGAGCTGAATTATACCTGAGTAGCGGAATGGATCGAGAAAGCCCGGCCAGACCAGCTTTCTTTGTAGAGTGCGAATGAAGGAAGATTACATGCAGTGTAGAGCTCTTCAATACCAGATGTCGGATTCTGAATTTGAAGATTGGGATCAGCCAGTCCAATGTTCGAATGGTTCATAGACGAAGCACTCGGCAGACGGGGAGTGCAGTATCACAGGGACTATCAACCTCCATGTTTCCTTCAGGCTATAGCACTCAGTTGTACATCATAACGAAGCCATCGTTGTTATGTGTTGTGTTTTCGAATCAGTGGCTGTAGCGCAGTGGCGCGAACAGGGAGTGTCGGCTCTGCTATGCAGTCCCGAATGTTATTGACGATACATGGCAAGTAGGCTGTTCTGGCCTTGGAAGTTGGGTTGTTCAAACTTTTTATTAGTATTGCAAGCTCGGGCTTGGAGATGGCTCAAGGGATTGGTCAAGTCTGGCAAGATGTATTAGACGAAGATGTTTCCTCATTAAATAGTATGAGCAAAGGCAAGGGTGAAGAGGCTCCGTGGGTTCCCATGGGTGGATAGTAAGGGCAAGAATATCATCGTGGATATCGTTCACAAAGAGGTCCTCGGCCTCGCTAAGACGTGGGATGAGTGACTGTAGCACAACAGGATGCTTGGAAACAAAGGATGCAGCAGGCTGGTGCGTGGATACAGAAAGATAGGGGAGAGTATTCAGGGGTATCCCGTTTGACGAGCTGGCAGGGGCAGTTGGTCATGCTATGGCAGAAGGGATGTCTACGTCTATCTGCGTACTGCTTTGTGACATGGTCTACTTTTCTGTGAGCCGGCTCAACAGACCACCAAGACTTGTCCTTTGAGATGTTTCCGTGGCCGTCTTCATTCGATCTCGCTGAATGTGTTGTTATTGTTCAGTCTGTGATTAGAGACTCCCGCTTGTCATCGTCGCGCCGTAGCAGCAAATAGAACTTGGGCACGCACTCCTTGAATGTTCCCAGGAGGCAGAGGCTTTTACTAGTTGATGATTAGCTGTTATCTATCAATACATACTAGGACTTAACTTACTGTTAGCGGTGGGCAGTTCCATGCTGGCTGGTACAACCCGATAGATGTAATCCTCTGAGTCGTTAAAGTAATTGTAGTTCAACACATGGGTGATTTTGCAAACACCTTTGGATCAAATACGGGTATGTATAACAACTTAACGCAGAACGTGAAGAGACGGCGTATCCATATCGCCTACCTGTATGCTTCACTCCTTGGTAAACCAGCGCCTTGAAGTGTTTTGTGTTTTCCAAAATGCCATCCATCCTCTTTGCAGGGGACATATTTTGGATCACAGAGGCCTTCAGGGAAAACTTGGAGCCTTGAGGAGACTGCTTAACCTGTGTCAAAAGTGGAATTATTTCCCAGCTGTCACCACATTGAACCCATACAGGCTTCTCGTTGCTGCGCCGGACACACACCCATTGAGAGTCCTGATGAATCAGAGCAGCAGCGCCTGGTCAGAAAATCCTTCGAACTGACGAACCATGTGGTGGAATACCCTCGACCGACGAGGATGTGGTGATTGTCGAACCATCGCTGGGCAAGGAGCTCTGCTCCTCCAGCGGCCGACTTTCCGTTGAGCATTTTCATGAAGTCAGCAAGCTACTCGATGTTCCTCATCTCGTTGTTAATTTTGTAGGAGAGAGTGGATCTGAAGAAGATCATCTCATAGGATGCGTTACACTAGTAGTAGCCATCCGTGACTGGGATCTGGAACACGCAGTTTCCGAATTTGCATGAGGACGCTGCCCCCCCCCCTCGGTGACGATGCCATCTACGTTCTCCTAGTTGCCGTTGATGTCGGTGTTATTCACAGGTATGATCTCGAGCATGGAGTTGTTACCCTTTACAATAACAACTTGCATCTTCAGGGATGCTGAGCAGCTAAAGTTGCTGCTGACGTTGTTGGGTTATTGTTTGTAGTCCAGCCGAAGTGGCCGTGATGTGGTTATCCACTTGGGAGCCCGGCAAATCGTTGGCGATCTGGGCTTGACTACATGTACTAACTCACTCAAGGGCGAGGCCACCGTGATATCGACGAGCGACTCCAACCCGCTGGTAATGACCCCTTTCGACAAGATCCCGATCGCCACCCCCGGCAAGAATAACGTAGTCACCGCTTTTATCAACAGGTTGCTCAACACCAAGGGCGCCTGCACCGTGTCCAAGGAGCTTGTCGGGCCTGGTTTCTTCTCTTGTGGGCAGCATCGATTACCAGATATCCAAGGACGTGGGCCACGCCAGGGTCCCGGTCGGAATAACGGTTAAGGACTAGTACTGGTAGACGCCGGTGATAGATGTGAGGACGAGCAAGGGTAGCCTCGAAGAAGTTGAGCCGAAGACAAGCTCAGGGTCAGCCACGGGCTCAAGTTAACAATTTGGAAGATTATGCTGTACAGCTAGATGCTGAGCATTATATTTTGGGGGTTGATCAGCAGAGTAAAGGATGTATGGGGGAGTGGTTATGGTCTTGGGGATGCCTATTAACCTTTAGAGGTGAAGAAACTTCAGCTTGACGCATTAAAGTATTAACCTAGGAGCTTATAAGAATAACGCGCGCATTCTTGCATGTCCATTAAATCACCTCCGTTGACGAAGTTGTATCTTCCCGACTGCGCGTCAAGGTGCCGTTGGGGCCAGTGGGCTGAATATTATGAAAGAGTCCACGGGAAGGAGTTTTAAGTTGGACTTGCTTATCAGTACCAAAAGCCTTACGAAGGAACTTGAAGGTATCATCAGGGAGATGGCGGCAGTCGCCTCAATATTCACCCTGATCAGCACGAGGACGAACCATGCATGACACCATGTGGGCAAGGCCGCTGAGGCATATGTCAGAGTAGGTGTTAGTATATCTGGTAGGCGTTAACATGTTTGGTAGATTCTATTAGATCTAGTGAGTGAGAGCCTGCAATTGTAAGAGAGAGGGTAAATTGATGTTTGTATTGAGCACTGTATCACAGTGTTTATCAGTCGAGCATTACAAAATACTGAGACTACCTACATACATAGGTAGTCAATTGAATCAAGCTTCTTACGCATCCCTCAGCTTCCTACCAACTAGTAGCAATTGAGAGATGCGTAGGGAGTTTAATTCCATCGACCAAGTGTTCTGCAGTGCTAGATTAATAGACCACTGTTGCGAGGTTGGTGTTGCTCTCACTTGGATCAGAGGCCTAGCTGTGTTTCTCCTCGATAAAAAGTGAGGGACAGAACACACGTAGGTAGTAAGTAGCACACGTAAGATTGTGAATTTATGGCCTTCGGACTCATCTATTGGTCTTGCTTATTGATGCACCACTAAAGCACCTATGAAAGAGCTGCTGGATGTTCATCATGTGGTTCGACATGTAACGTCCAAGTCGACCATTTCATTTCCTTGTCCAGCCTTCAATGTTGTCAAGCCGACGATTTCTCTCCACATAAAGTCGAAATCAGCACTCACAGCCTCGTCTCCTCGCAGGGCTATTCCCTGAATCCAATAGGGGTCCCGCTGCCGCCATCTTCTATATTTAGCAACGATGGAGATCCTCTCATGGCCATCAGCCAAACTTTAAAAGCGTCCACGTACTCCATCGGCAGCACGGAATAGACGGGTCGGCATTTTTACCCTTTCTTTGCCTTGTCTATTTTCCCATTTGGCGGGTCAGCTTGACGAACTCTATACATGTACTCGTGCTCACATGTACTGCTCAACGACATGTGTAAACGAACTTCACGACATCACTCTCGTACGTCTTCAACAACAAGCAGAGCACCGCGTGTGTGCTCCATACATCTCTATTCTTATACCATGGGCTCATAAAATCGTTAAGCGGACGAATCAACATTAATGATTCGTATGCTATACTTGTAATATGTGCATCGATAATCTCATCCTTTGGCTGCAAGTGAGATTTTTATAGATATAGTGGGCTTATGTAATGCCCGACGGAGCATTCGGGCACATGCAACTATTCCGTACTTATTTTGAGCCAATTCTTTGCCCTGAGATGCGTCAATAATATAGATAAGTAAACGAATAGACCATGTACATGAAAACATCTATTTTGAGGAAATCATCAAGCACCATGACATGAAGAGTACTGCTGTTGGCGCATCACATCAAATACCCAATGGAGAAAGAGGTTCGATATGCCACTGCTAAACCAAATGCAACACAAGAATGTAAACAAGAGCATTTATATGCTTCTGTGTTCAACTGATAGTTATACTACCCAATAGTCTAACAATTAGCTTTGCCGTGAAAGTTCATCTCAATCACATGTACCAAAAGTCGTTGGACCTAAAATGTCAAGCACGCGAGCTTGTTCCTGTCCACTTGCTGGCTGGTATGTGGTATGCCATTGACCTTTGATCACTGGATTCAAGACGGCTACTATTGAAGCGCACAAGCACCTAACCTATATCGTTTATCGTCTACATACTGGTACGCACAAGTACGCATAGGTAGCGTTAATGCAACTGATATAACGGTACTACTACATGGTACGCACTTGTACTCGAATGACTCTGCACACCAGGACGGCTCCTCCCGTCATCGCAGCTGAATCGTAAAGGTTAATCATCATTGATCGACTCCTTACATAGAGATCGTCAGGGTTGAGTAAAATAACAAACAAGAAACAAAAACAAAGAGTCTTGTTATATTAAAGCGGAACAAGTCTGAGACACTGAACCGATCCCAGCCGGGACAACTTCCCAAGGGATGGCCTGCGCACGTACTGTAAGTCACATGAAATTGAAAAGCTCAAACCACTGTGCTCCGTAGTTGCTTCCACTCTTTGTTGTGATCAAACCGGCTGGTCTGAGGGAAAGACTTCGGCGGCAAGGTGGGAGAATACGACCTCTGCATCCCATTCAATGGGAGGCAACCGGAAACCCGCCATCACGAGCATCTTAATGCAAGTTACGAGCACTTTTTACGAGACCCTACCGTACGAGCAATGCACGTTCCGCTACCCCTCTTTTTGATACGGCAGCAGCAGCAGGATGGTTGAAGTTCTGGATGCTCCTTTGTCGCAGGCGCTACAGCTGTCTCATCCGCCCTGCAGGGGAGCAAGAACCAGTCAACACTCGGCGCAAAGCACATCCAATATTCTTCCCTTCTCCGTCTTTGTCTGTGAGCGTAGACGTACATAAGTGCGTGACTACTATAGGGAAGACGGGGCTGTTGCTCGACAACTGTTTCGTGTGAGGCGCAAATTCGTCTGAAACGGCACCGGATAGGTCCCTTGCGCTGTCGAGCCACTGTTTTAGAATGATCGTCGCGAAACCCTTGGCACAAGAGACAAGTCGGCATCTTTTCTTCCCCTTCTTCCTTTTCTTCCCTTTTTTTCTTTTCTTTTCTTTTCAACCCCTCCCGCTGGGACAAGAGCCGCTGTCGACGCAAGATCTTGCCATATGCGGCCATGCCCGACCGTGCAAAAGGGCGACCTGTCACCCAGTAGGTGCAAGTATGTAAGCCGTGGGTAAGAGTCAATGCCCGCGGGCCCTCAGCGGTGAGGCCGTATTAGAAATGAATACGAGAGCATAACCGAAACGCCGAACAGCACCTGGGCGAAAGTGATGTGGTGAAGGTTGCCATATGGACACCCAAAAGTCACGGCATTTCTCTGCTGCTGGAGTTTTGACGGGTTGAAACCAGACGATAAGACGCCCTACGACGACAGTAGTGCCTCGTACATGCAGGTATGGTGTTGATGCTCGTACGGGTGCTCGTACAGCTGCACGGTCAGCAAAGAAAAGGCTCACATGCTTCCGGACTTTTGGGCTGCAGGGAGAGAAAAAGCTCAACCGCGAGAGTCCCTTTGCAGCCTAGCCGGGGCCACGAACGTGATGCTACTGCTTGCGCAAAGAGGTAAATATAGAAACATGGGAACTCATGATGCGGGCAAAAGGCCGTACTAGCGCAACGGGTTTCCCCGTATCTTGCTCTCTAATTTTTTTTTATAATCTTCTCTTCTTCTTTTTTGCCTCGACAATCTCGTGTCAATGCGGCGATCGCTTTCGGAGGCTAGATGAGTTGGCTTTTAGGTGCATGTGCTCGGAGGTGGAAATTTTGAGACCGTCAGATGAGCAGCACCGAGTAAGTGCAGGTGGCACAGCTACGGCAGCCTCCGAAGATGGATCCGGAGGCTAGATAGAAACAAGCACAAAGCACTAACAAAAAGAGCTTAAAAGGAACAGAAGAAGAATGGTAAAAACAAAAAGAAGACCAAAAGAGGGTATCGCCGTCTTGGAATATACTACTCGTATGTCATGATCACTCACCTGGTGTCGACGTCAATGGCCAAGAACCGCCGTGCAACCAAGGGCAAAACTGCCAAGGAGTAATTTAAAACAACAGACAATAGACGCTCTGGCACGGCCGAATTCGGTAGTCGCCGCGCCGGGGTCACACAAAGCGCCGCATGGCATTGGATGGAGACTCGGAAAAAGGGCTTGCAAGCACAGCCCCCGCGGCCGAAGCCCACTTGTTTTTTTCTTTCTTCTTTTACTGCAGATTGAAGAAGAAGAAAAGAGCAGAGGGATCGATTGATAGGTAGCAGGTAACAGTACCTACCTATCAACTGTGAATACTACGCAATATACATGTACGTGTGAATACGAAGCCGCCCCATCCCGCTGGGCTGGCACTGGGCGGCCACGGATGCCGGAGTGCCGTGGCCACAGAGCAGCTGAGGAAGTCGGCACAAGAGCTCTGTAATGTTCTTGGGAGCGACTTGGGTCACGGGGGACTGAGTTGGCGACCTGGGCCCTGGACTCGTTCCTTCATGTGCTGTCCGTTATTTTTGGTCCGTGATCTCGGAATCGATCATGGATGCCGGTCCAAGTATGAGTACATCATTGTTGTCATGGGTGACTGCACCTCCAGGTTCCCTGTGCGGGTACATGTACAAGTACAGGTGCCAAGCACCGACTTTCTCGTGTTTGCGGGCTCTCGCGAGTACCGCCCTTCCGTATTGGAGTAAAAAAAGAACAAGACGGAGAAAAAAAAAGGGAAAAGGGAAGAAGAAAAGGGTGTGGAGGGGGGAGAGAGACAGAGGCTGGGTCTGTGAGCTGCTCTGCTGTGCTGTGCTGTGCTGTAAGGCTATTGGGCGAGTAATCGGAGCTGGCAACTTGTAGCATCGGGCTGCAGAATCCACGGCATCCCGCTGTGTGTCTGAGATTGGACGAGGTTGGATGGGATTGGCGCTGTGGAGGAGGGAGTTTCCGATTGAGTCATCTGCGCTTTTCAATCTTTCTTGTGAGACCCAGACCGTGTTACA